ATCTAGGGAAAAATACCTAGTTTTGCCCGCGCACCTCTGACCTTCCTCACTTTCTCCGTGGCCGGTTGAACGGTCGCCGATGGATGTCATGCTTCTTTGTGATTTCCCAAAGGGAACCGCTATTTATAAACGTGGGCGTGAATCGGCGACGAAGCCGGAAGCTTGGTGGACATCTCACACGGAAAGGAATTCCACTTTCGTTTACGAGAGGAACAGGCACGTAACGGAAAGGACGCATGATACTCGGAAAGAAACGTGATTTTCTCTTCCTTTCCAAATTAAAAATATTGTGTACAGCAAATGGCCTCGATTATTGCCAGTGTCCCTAATACTGCAACTTTGTTTATTTTACGTAATGTTTAAAGAATTGTGTGTTATGGACAAACATTTTTTCAAAAGATTTTCAACAAAATATCATCTAAACAGTCTACAGAGTTGAAATCTGTAATCAAATGTTCACTCTTAAAAGAAGATTCTGGTCTGAAAGGATTAAGGTGGCAGTAATTGGTTACCCTATCTACAGAGTTGGGCAGAATTTTATACACAATGAAAAGCAGCAGTATCTAAGGGTGTCGTTCTGAGCTTTAAACAGTTAATGAGATTAAATAATTGTTCGACGAAGTATTATTTTATTATAAAAATTTTAATTTCCACGTTTAAACAATAAAAAATGACGAAATACTTTTTTTTATCTTTTATTCGTTATTCGAACTTTTTTTATCTAGATAATGAATTTGCCCATCTCTGCCTATCTACTGTTACTGTGTCGCTCATCGATCGGAATCAGGATCATCATATTCTATTCATGGATCTCTTTACATGCACCGTGTACCAAGTTAAATCCCCGGGCAGCTATGACAACCGGATCACCCAGTTGCGAAACGAAGATTACCAAGGATGTCTAAACCATCCTCGAGAGCGAAACCTGTGACTAACGATACCGGTCAGAGAATTTAAACGATCATCCTTCGGTTCTCGTTCGCTTCGATTGCCCAATTATTCGGCTTATCAAACACGGAATCGGATTCGTTGTTAGCATGTGCCTTTCCCCCGCGAAATTCCTGACGAAGATCGCGACAAACCGACGTTAGAATCTTCAGGGAATGGAATCTCAACTCGTGGAACTTCACGGACCGATTTCGATCATCAGTTTGGTATACAGTTACCATATAATACGTTCTATCACGATAAAACTATTTTTCCAAAACTTGTTCCAAATCCCATTTCAGGGACCTACAACACTTTTGTCGCACCCTGTAGAGGATCGAAGGTGATAAGATCGTAGAATAGACGAGTCGAAGGCGGAGAGGAACGCGAGCCCGCGGCTCGTAGGCGCGCAAATATCGTGCCATCTGCGGAACGAACCGAAGACAACTTTCGCCCCCCAAGGCTGAGAAGATTCCTCCGTTCGCGGGCGCATCGCTGCGTTAATAGAGACGGACGGTCATTGAAAAATAGAATGGTTCCCCCGTTAATTAACCGCCACGGGGAACGTATCCGCACGGTGACGAAACGCTACCAGACGGCTGTAAGTACCTTTTTGCCACACTGGACACGACCTGGTCGACCATCCCTGATCGATCGTTTTTCGATACATGTATATGTACATCCTGATGCGTTTCCAATAACGTTCCCTTACGTAAACCGACTCTTCAGCATCGATACGACACGCGTGAACGTATACAGAGTGTTCCGTTTGAATCGAACTCCCCTCGAATATCTCTGGAACTATTTCTGACACTGGAAAATGTAGAGGACATATGAAGGTCAAATTTTGTTAATGTATTAACTAACGCAGGTCGTCATTGTCAGTAAAAAAATTATTAACCTATTTATGAAACACCCTCAGATAGCACATAAACAGCTTAATAACGGCTTAATGATGGCTTAAAGACGCCTCAAACGTAAAATATCCGTAAAATAGGCGTCTTCGGGGCGCCATTTGCTATCTGAGCTGTGTAGAACCGGAAACTTTTTCTGCTCTTTGAGGCATCACGCATAGTAAACAGCAACACGGTCCGCAGGATACTAGACAGACACGGGTCTGTATTGCGAAATTTCGATTGTCGAGGTACGACCTCGATCTTCGCGGAATAACCGGGACCCATGTGACTACCGTTCGCGATCCCCTCGTTTCCTTTCCTGCGGCGTTTGTACTTTCAACAGTAACAGACATAAACATAAATGTGAACATAATAGAACAGAAAACATTCAATGTATCGTACGGAATTGAAGTAAAAAGATAGATAATTGAAAAAGGTAATACAAACTTACTTTTTAGTGTATTATTTCAATGCAATACAGTAAATCCTCGTTGAATGTTCGGACATCACAGATGTAACGCTGGCTTTTTCATGAGATTTATTGCACCGACAGTGCTTGGAATTCTGAAGCCAATGATATTTGTTTCAACCGCATATTGCCATTAGTTTATGAAATATTTAATGTTAAATGCCGGGGAGCCTTCGAACACTCACCGAAGATTTACTGTAGTCGCGTTAGGAAAACCGCTTACGTGGTATAGGACAGGTGTAAATGGTGTATCAAGATGGAATGTGACTTATCTTGGTCGATAGGCATTTGTTTCATAACAGTCATAACATTCGTACCCATGTTACGTTTGTCCCGAGTTTCCCCTAAACGTTGTTCTTCGGCTTCTACACAGCCGGAATCTGGCTAGAGTCCGTTGGAATGCGACCCAGCACTCCCTGGATGCATCTTTTCGAGTGTAAAGGGCACGGGACTCGCGACCGGTCACGCCGTAGGTCGCACAGTTCTACATACTTATATGTCGGAAAACGTGATCCTACCGTCAAGGACTTGAATCGACCGCATCTCAGATGGATATCGGTCTTGAACTCCGAAACCGTTCGTGCATTTATCGATGCACGGTTGTTGGTACGTTAAGGGTCATTCCACGCGAAATCAGACACTTTTTGGTCACGATCAGATCACGATTCGTGGTTTACCCTGTATAAACGTGTCTCGGAGGATTTTTGAAAATTTGTAAAATCGTTCATTTTACAGATGTTTCAAATATACCCACGTAGAACATGACGCATCGAAGAGATCCATTTTACGGCTGTTTTAGGTCTGAGGCGTCTTTAAGCCGTCTTTAAGCCGTCATTGGGCGTCATGTGCTATCTGGGACTATATCCTTTCTGCTGAAACAAGACGGTAGAAGTTACCGAACACTGTACGTAAACTGGAGACTATGTTTCAGGTGCAAATTGTTCCATTCGCTTTCGTCGACGGTTTCTCCGCGGATGAACTGTATTTCACAGGTGTGTATGTGTGTGAGGAGGGATCAGAGTCACGGAATACCAGAGGACTCGTCATCCACCGGTACACCATCTGCCCGTCGACTTAGATCTCGTCGAGAAGTGACGTAACGAAGCGTTACGTCCTCTCTACCCCCATCAGACACACACGTTGCACCTTCTCTCCTAGAAGGAACACGTAACCCCTACCTTCCTAAGGCCCCCTCCCAGCTCGAAGCCATCCTGTCCCCGGCTGGGCATCCTCTTCTCGGGCAAGACGTTCTCCACGATGCCGCAGTCGCCTCCAAGAATCCCTTCGAAAAGGTAACGTGGGAGTGGATCAGTCGTCATCTGTAGAACGCTGACGAAGAGCAAACATACAGCGAATATCACGAACATGGAAACCGTAGGACGACGATTCATCATCCTCTGGGGTACGTTTATACGATTTGGATACAGCTGAAGCGTCTTCGAAACGTAGAGTAAATCATCGATGAGTGCTCGAAGGCACGGAACATTGAATATTTCATAAACTAATGGTCGTATCCGGCTGAAACAGGTATCATCGGCTTCGGGATTTCAAGTTCTATTTATGTGCTGAAGCTTGTTGAAAAGTCGGCGGTATACCTGGAGATATATTCTTGTGAAGGCTGAAGAGCCTTCGGACACTCATCGATGATTTACGGTAGCTCTTCGTTACTGCTGAATATACTCGCCGGTTCCATGTTAGTATCTCTTCGAAACGTGTTTTCATCGTGAGTTTACGCGATAGAAGGAACTAAAAACTAGCCGATCTTGAAAGGGAGTGTAGTGTACGTACACGCGTCCGTACTTTCGAATGGTCTTCTTAGGAATTTACTGATCCCTCGAGCGAGACTCTATATATACACGGGTACATGTATTCCTTTAGAGAAAAACTCTACATGATTCTTCGTGGAAACGGAAACTTATAAAAATTATCCCTCGATGTCTTCATACGCCATAACAAACGATTCCCTCCTTGAACGTATCCTAATCGTATGTTGTATCTTGTTGTTTTGAAGTTAAAAATATCGATATTGAACAGACCCATTTTTTAACAATTTTTTTATCTTCTTTTCTATATTTTTTTAGGGAACATTTGAATTTTGCAACTGAAAACTTTGAGATTTAATTCATATCAATGGAACTGCGGATCCTTGCCGACGAAAGTTAGATATTAACCGGTAACAAAGTTTAACGCACTTTTCAAGTGAATGTTGCACTAAGGTACCACTGGGCGTTGAAGGGTTGACACGTTGACTGCCACAGTGAAAAGGGCCGTGCGTAGCCAGACACACTTTATTCCGTTTTCTACGTCATAAATCGTCGAAAATACTATAATGATACAGAAGAACCATTTTTTTAACAGATAAATCAGATGTTTTTATAAAAATTATTTCAGTTAAAAAAATAGATTTTTCAACCATTTATATTGCAATCGTCTTAAATAAATGCCCTGTTTTTATACCGGTAAATTGTTTGTCCTCTCTATGGACATATCTATAAAAATATGAACACTTTAAAATTGGCCGTATGAAAATTAATCGATTAATATATAATAAGTACCCACAAAGCTCATTGTACAAGTTAAATAGTTATGATTTATTGAAGAAACTTTGACCCTAAATTTCAAACAGCTGTAAAATCAACAATTTCAAACATCCTTCGATATATGTTTATACATCGCTAAATACTACAAAATACCCAAATTTGACAAGAATGACCCTAAAGTATCTTCGTTATTTGATAAGGTATCGAGGTGATTAACTGATAAATTATTAGATACTCCGCTAGCTATTATATCAGATACAGAACGTTCGAGATTCTAAATTTCTCATCGAACGACTAAAAATATTAACCCCCCAATCCCGAAATACTAACCGTCGAACATCTTTTCTCCAGCGACCGTGCTCGGGGCAAGTGTTCTCGGGCTTCAACGTCCTCCGCCCAGATACTCCCAGCAGTACATGCCGGAAACATCGTTCAGTTGTCGCAATAAGATCGTAGGAAGCTACTACGCGGACCCGGAGACCGACTGCCAGGTGTTCCACGTTTGCGTGTCCGTCGCTGGCACCGTCCAAGATTACAAGTAAGCGATACCAGACTCACGCAACACACGCTGAATCAGAGTAGAATCACGTAGGTAGAACCGAATTGCAAAATATCCGTTGTTCTGTGTTCTCCGTAAGGTTCCTGTGTCCCAACGACACGGCGTTCGATCAAGAAAGTCAAACGTGCGCCGATTGGTACGACGTGGACTGCGAAGCAGCGACCCTCTACTACGCAAGCGACAACTTCGACCTGTACAGGATCGGTTCCGGCCTGGAATCCCCTCACTACGACAGTATACGCACGGACGCTGAGCCCCAAGATCATCTACAGCGCAGCGAGACCAGCGATCCAGTCCGTTCCGCAGCGAATACCCTAAACAGAGTCTCATCTACCAGCTACAACGCGAACAACCAACGGGATCTACGAACAGGCAGCAGTGGTAACTTCTACAACAACCGAAACGGCAAAGAAGATGTTCAACGAGAACAATTACACACCGTCCAGCACACCAGTACCATCACCTGCTGTCCCAGTTAACAATCAGAACACCTATACTGGCTTCTACAGCGGGAATAATTACAGTCAACGAGGGAACAGTTACGTGTCCTCGACAAGCACCAGACCACAGGAGAACTATAACAGGAACACCCAGAGGTACAGCGCTGCGACCTCGACGTACAGACCGAACACTAACTATCAGGAGAATTATAGCTTCCAGTCGCCTAGCACGACCACAAGGACCACCGTTTATAATGCATATAATGGGAATTACAATCAACAGAACGGTAATGGGTTCGGTCAGAGCACCACCGTGAAACCGACCAGCTACAATAAGAACTATCAGAGCTACAACAACGGCGGTCAGTACGCCCAACCGACCACCCTCCAGCCGAGTACAAATTACCAGGCGAACGATTACACGAATTATCAGAGGAGTTACAATAACATTCAACGGGGAAGCAATAATAACGTCCAGTATCAGTCCACGACTCCTGCGGCCACAGTCTACGAAAATACGTATAATAATAATAATAATAATAATAATAATAATAATAACAACAACAACAACCAGTATAGAAGCACATCGACAAGGCAGGATATTTCACAGGCGACCACAAAGTACTTCCCAAGTTACGCGAGCAGCAGCTTCCCACCGACCACTTACAGCCCAGCCACGAAGAAGTTCGTTTCTAATGACAATGGTCAGGGTCAGACCGCTTCGAGGAATAACGACAACGGGCAGTATTACGACAAGAGTAGTCAACAGACCGTGAAGAGCTCGTCGCAGTATTACGAGAGCACCAAGGCGCCGAAAAAGGCCACGCAGTATAATAATTACGAGGGGACCAATGGGAAGTATTATACCGAGAGCAGCACGAACACTTATGATTCGGCGAGATCCTCGGTCGGGATCGGATTCAGTCCAGCGAGCATCAATCATTTGGCTGAAACGCCTAGATCCACCACACCAGTGCCAAGGTAATCGAATCACCGGCCGAGATATACAGGAAATCGTCGATGAGTGTTCGAAGGCATTGAACATTAAATATTTGGTAAACAAATACTTCAGAATTCCAAGGTATAGCACTGTGCTGAACCCCGTTCTTAAACCTGGGGAGGTCTACTTGTTAGTGCCGAGGAGCCTTCGAACACTTATCGATGAATTACTGTAGTAATGTATGATGAACCCTTTTGTTCCCACTGTTGTTACATGGCTAGGTATTTTCAGTTAAACGAAATATTAGTGTCGTGCAATTTTTTAATATCCGTAAAAGTATACCTTCGTGTGACTTTGAACATGAAAAATCTACAAATGTATGAGAGTAGAATTTAAATAATGAGATAACTATGATGCCAGAAATTAGTGCCAAAAAGTTATCAAAGTTGATGGACATCACTTTGAGCATTTATTAAAATTAATTTTGTGCAAATCGAAAGCAAGTGGAGATAGTAGCTCATGTTAGAAGGTACACCCTATATAACTGTAATGACGAATGAAAAACGATTAAATGTCTTGTGTAATATATAGACAAATCATTTCGTCAGTAATTTTTAAATAATTTGGAAATGGAAGGGTTAACAATAACAATCCAGATACCACATGGCTTAGAATTATTTTAGGTCTAAGGCGCCTGTAAGCCGTCCTCAAGGCGCCATGTGCTATTATCTGAGAATAATTCCGAGAATATGATAAAAGGAATATAAAATGCGTTACTTTCCATAGGAGGATCTCCACAGCCACCACGTACAACCCGAACACCTTCAACACGAATACACAAAGGCCACCGCAGAGTCCCACCACCCCCAGGGGAAGCACTTACGCCAACGGATCCGCTAGACCATTTTCGTCCACGACGAGACTACCGAACTCGACCACGCCACGACCGAAATCCGGCAAGAAATCCGATTACGATTACGCCTACTACGACAACACCGCGGGCCTGGAGTACGACAGCCTCGACTTGGAACACGTGACCGGTAACAAAGAATCGACGAAAATCGCGAGGAACTAAAATTCCGTTCGGTTCCTAATACGTTCAACGGAGAAAACAGTCGTGAATTCCATGAAACTCGGGAAATCCATCAGTTTTCCATCGACTACTAGTGGCCAGTGCATCATCAAAATCGGCTTTCGACGACAGTATACATTTGAAAACCGATTTTGCTTGTAAAGAGTGTAGGGTTGCCTTATGCACGTCGATTCCCGAACCCCTGTTTTCCTTTTTTTTTTTCATACATATACTTTTTATACAGTATTGTAGGATAAAGAATTATTACTTATTATTAGGTAAGACGAGATGATTTTCCGCCATGTATATCGGTAGCGAAATTTAACACGTTCTGTATATATTGTGACCGAGAGCTGTTTAAATTTGGTGTAATGTCTCTATTCGTACCCTGAAACCTGCGGACTGAGTGTATATACTATAAGTATTTTAATTGAAAAAAAAAAGCACTAAAAAATATCTACATGGCCAGTTTATTTCTACACTATGTTCCGAAACCTTTTACAAGTCCTTAATTCATCGATTCCTTCATTGACCTTTTCAGTTAATAATTCTATGATACTCAACAAAGATGGGATAACAATTTTATACATTATATTATATTAACAATTATATTGTGAATATACGAACAATTGTCAATTGTTACCTTCTTAATTAATATTTCATTTTCTATACCTAATGTTAAATTAAGCAAGACCCGTGGCGCCATCCGCGGCAAAACGCCCAAGCTACTAGCCGATTAGTACCACACTCTTGCTGCTAGATGGCGCCACACAACCATGACTACAAAGGAATGTTTCTTTAAGTAGTAATACAATTGTGAATATGCAGATTTGTTGCATATGCAATAACAATTGTATCGCATTATGCGTTTCTCAATTAATATTTAATTGTTTAATTAAACTAGCTTAGCGCCATCTAGTACCACGAAAGTCATACTATTTCGTTAATAGCTTGGGCATTTCAGCGTGGATGTCGCCACACCTCTTTTCTATCTCAAGCACCATTGAATTCAAAAAATTATTATTAATTAAAAGTACCACGATCGACAATTGATTATGCACAATATCGTGGTGTAAGAAAAACTTATTTTTTTCAGCTGGTGATTTTAGTATTGTTAGAATTAGGTGAACAATTATTTTGTTCAATGATGTAGAACACTGGCTGCATTCGCATGCTCCAGCATGCTCGGAAGAATTCGGAATTCAGGTGTTCCAATTCTTCATAATGCATTATATTTAATTTGTGACGTTCTTTACTTGTCACCAGCCGTTTCAAAACATTAAAAATACTGCAGAGTAACAATAAAAGTGTACTGACAAACAGATAAAATCATCGAAACAACGCTATACCTAGCACGTTAATTGCATGTAAGTGTTGCAACACACATCTGTTTTTTTTTTATGAAACTTTTAATACTATTCTTCGAGAGAACTTATTAATGCATTTTGGAGTCTAGCATTTATGGCGTTCGCATTAAATCTAAAATATCAGTTTTAACAACAGAAGTTACACGTTATTGCATAATCTGTTTATAGGTTATTATGTCGCTATTTATATTAGTGTTATGTTTTTTGTTGAATGAAAAGTTTAATAAAATACTATCGTTAAGCGTGTATTACAGAAAACACAAGGGCAATGGGTAATGTATTGACACCTGCTATGTCAGCAGCCAATGTGTTTATAACTGACCCTGTACAGAAAATTTCAAAGCATGTACACCATAGTGAAATGAATAACCTAGAAGGAGAGCCTCCCCCGGAATGTCCTATGCATAAATCGACTAAGAAAGAAGCACCTCCTAAATATGCTAGTGAATGTCCAATAAATGACATGAGTCAAGATGAAATTAATCCTCTCAATATGGTTTGTATACAATCTGTGTTAATTTCCAACTATGCTATGTCTCCACGAGGACTACAATATATATAATTTAGTATAATAATGTACAATGAATTGCAGATGCCTCCAGCTAATCAACAACCAGCACCCGATCAACCTTTCTCTTTGCCCACAGATAGGCAAGTCTCGACAATACCAAAAGCAACAGCTGAAAATGAATTTTGGGTATATCCGTCTCAACAAATGTTTTGGAATGCAATGTTAAGAAAAGGCTGGCGTTGGAAAAGCGAAGACATATCGCCGAAAGACATGGATGATATAATAAAAATTCATAATGCTAACAACGAACAAGCCTGGCTAGAAGTCCTCAAGTGGGAAGCGCTACATGCAAGAGAATGCAGTACGCCACGTCTTCGTAGCTTTGGCGGTAAAGCCTCGAAATACTCGCCACGTGCCCGTATTCGACATTGGATGGGGTAACTTACAATTCGGATAGGCTGTAAAATCAGTTATTTTCCGGACACATTGCTTATTATGCAAATATTATAATTTTAGGTATGAATTGCCATTTGATCGCCACGATTGGATCGTAGACAGATGCGGAAAGGATGTGAGATACATTATAGATTATTACGACGGTGGTCAAGTGAATGATAAGTACACCTTTGCCTTACTCGATGTACGACCGGCTATGGATTCTTGGGAGAACATTTGGGATCGCATGAAGGTAACATGGTGGCGTTGGAGATACTCTAATGAATCGAAAGAATCAGAACATGCCACCCAAACGTAATAAAACAGAAAATTAGTAATTAAGTAGAACGGAGAAACATTAGCCTCGTAACGACACACTTGTTGTTAAGCCACACGTTATGTTCAAATGATGTACAATTTCAAGACGGGAGGGTACAGGTTGTAATTGTATGTGAAATCTAAAAACATTTACGAATGTTTCAAAGGATCAGACAAGTTCCATGCCTACGATATTGTTAAGTACTTGTACGATAAAAATTATCCATTGTAGCTCGGCATAAAATTTATTGTCAAAGACTGTTAAAATGATATTAGACGCACGTTTCCATTGTTTCCCATAAGACTGTGATTTGCTTCCCAAAAAGCAACTCACATATCTTAAACCAATTGATACGTTATTTGTGACATATTGCGCCTGTGAAACAAAAGATAATAAAATTGTTGAAGATATTGTAACTTTAAAAATAGTTTCTTTAAGCATCGATGAAACACACATTAGGGAGAAATAAAAACTCTGCTCCAAATGTATTAAAGACTCATATTTGTACACATACCGTACCATTTTATTGTCAATATTAAAACTTATTCTAAAGATATGAAAATTCCATGGAATTTGAGTATTCAATGATGTACATCGAGTAAAATTCTATTCTTCTAAAAATACAAACAAAGCCGCAATCAATTGACGTTCCCTTTCATTATTACAACAATATCAAGTTATTTAAACTGACTGGGTACGTTATTCAATTGGAAGATTGAAATGCAAAGTGTTTTATAAATCGTTTACATTAATGACACAAGAAATCTCGACTTTCCTAAATGTTGTTATGTGAAGTAATATTAAATGCGTTACAAAACATTCTGCAATAAATAGTACTCATTAATTGAACCATTATTGAATTGTATATGTCATTTGTATATATATTTGTACAAATATGTATATACTGTATCATTATATGTATAATACATAACATACATAGATTAAAAAAACATTTCATATGTGTACAACATTGAATATTATAAATCAATGCACGTGAAACAATGTTATTCCATCATTAGGAAACTAAGTTGATTACACAGTACTTAATATTTTCATTTTAAATATTAATGTTACCATGCCCTCACGTGTTAAATTGCATTTACTAGAAAACTGTAGTTTCTTAATATTTTTGAATATTGTATCACTATCGAACGTATCTTGTTTTTCTTTAACGAAAAACAAACTTTTTTTTTTTAAACCAACATTTCCTTCATTGCAAATGACTTTTCTCTTTTACCTTCGCAATACAATTGGAAAAATTAGTGTGAAATATCCATTGTTTATTCTAATATCAGTTTAAATGACCATACAAGCAGATATTACTAGAAAATGCAAATACCATGATCGACTGAAGTAATACGATCTGTTTTTCTTTTTTTAAATATTTTCAATTCTATTTAAATTAGGAAGAAACTAAAACTTTTTTTATACGATTGGCACATTAACTTTCTACAATCTATAATACATATGAAAGCATCGATCCAATAATCGACTATCACGTTTAAGTAAGCTAGTGTTAGATACAATTCAATATTCTAATTAAAGTAAACGAGGGTGCAACTTATACAGGTTGTACTGCTTATTCAGACGACAATGAACAGATAACAATTTATTTACAAACTAATAAATAAGTTGTCTTGACCCAACAAAGCAACGAAAGTGCCAATTATACTAAAACGATAATGATACTATTATCAATATTTACGTTCCGAACGTTTAAGAATCTAATTAGAGAGCCATCAGTTTCATTTATGTGTCAGAATTTTGGAAGCACAATGCAGGACACGTTCATCTCAATGAAACACTTGACGGCTTCTAAGTATTTTTAAATAGAATTATGAGGCAAATAACCAACACAGTTACTAGAACCACAAAGACAGGGCGTATCACTGAGTTCATGGACGGAATTAGCAACTCCACCTGCATAGTTAAAGGTTATCTCTTCCCCGATGTCTATGCCCCTAGATGCGAACAAACATAATCGAGGCACTACTCCTTCGACTCTAATAGGTACAAGATTAGCATTTGGTTCACAACTGTGGTTGGAATACCGTCCAATGTTACCAAAATATTTAGGATCTATACACGTAATGATAGTTCGGTTCCCAACATGTTCAGAAACTACTAGAACATAATTCGTATCATTTTTATTTGCTTCTACTCTGTATCGTGCTTCTTCGATACCTATAACTTCACCAGCATATTCACAAATAAATTGACCTTTCTGAATGAATTTAGTCGTAAGCAAACCAAGTCCTTTCTCGCCTACTTTCGATACAACTAAGCAATCCAACGGACCTTTCTGTATCACTCTATTGCCACAGTTCACTCCACAAGTACAGCAACAATTGCATTCGATTATGGGCTCTCCTAATTTTTCATCTAGAATCCGATCGTCGACATAATTCGGAGAACCACGTGTACACGAACAATTGGAGCATGTATCTACGCACAAACAGCCTAGCGAATATACCGATTCGAAATCATCTAAATCTATACCCGGACCTGGTATATTGTTTACTACATACATAACATTTGGTATACTATGCTCATACTCGTCTGCACAAGCAGATGCCTCCATCCTTACCGTAACTTTAGGTCAATAACAAAACCCGAATAAATTTAATAGAGTCTTTAAAAATGTGCAGCATAAAATAAAGAAGAAAATTGGTTCTTTGAAGAAAGATACGTTAGTCCAGTTTGAAGTTCTAGAAATCAAGTTCCAGCTAATTTAATTGTCGCCACTGACCTTTAGTAGTCCTTCGACCGATGATCTGATACATTGCAATGAAATGCCAGAAGGCATCGGTAAAATTTTATACCCTGCGTAAATTACAGCGCTCAGTAACGAGACTTTAATAGTGAATTTCAATATTTTAGTTGACAACGATTGGGGAGGCACTCTGTAAAAAAATAAAAAGTAGAATTGCATTCGTGAACGTTCACCTAGGTGTCCATATCAAGTAAAAGTACCTCATAATAGGTGCTATGTCCGAAGACTTCACTTTTCCCCAATGTTTCGTAATTCCTGCGATATGTCCTATGCCAACAATTCCCACAATTCTGAGTGGCATTGTTCCACTCAAAATATGTTGAAGCTCACATGCTCCTTGAAGAGAATATGTGAGATACAAGTCTCTTTCTGCCATGAAAACTTGCTCTATTACTGGAAATTCCTCTTTTAACTTATTAGTCACATCACCTAATAGGTGCTTTTTTTTACAAACTTCCACGTACTCTTTACTAATGTCACCTTTTAAATTAATTAGGTGCCATCCAATTTTCAGAGTTTGCCTCCAAGACAATGATCTTACAGCACGTGTAATCGTTATGTCGAATGGTCTATCTGCCAATTGAATAATACAGTTTGGAATTGATTTTGCCTGAAGTAATGCAGAATTTACAATTATATACATATTACTGCTCAACCACTAACCTACTAACTAACTAACTATTTTAATTTACCTCTTCAAAAGCTCTACGAAATTCACCACCAGGTGCCATTCCAAGTTGTTTGGAAATTCGTGCTACCATTCTCAGTAATAAGATACGGAACAATCCATGATAGGTCCCGTGTGTCTTTAATGTATCAACAATAGTTTCTACAGAACGGGTATGTATGAATGTTGAAACAAAATGATGCATCGTAAAAACTTTAATAAGTAATTTTAGTAAAACTTACGGTATGTTACATTCTTTGCAGATTTATACATAGTTTCCTCATTAAGTTGCAATATACCAATTCTCGCTTTGCACAATTCGACCACAACTATATGTGGTTGTACAGCTTGAATTATCTTGATTTATAAAAAGATATATATGTTTAATTATCCTTGTTTCTCCAAATTACTAAGCAACCAAAATTCTATTTACCGTGGAAACGTCATTTTGACTCTCAACACTAAAATGCACTGTCCCTACTAAATACAATTTTGCTCCTTTAGGTGTAGTAAGTAATGTCACTGTTTCCGGTAGCCTCTCGTCTATACTAGGATCGTATTCTTTATGACTTAATGCACTGATATCATGATTCTGATTATCACTTTTAGTTTGAGCACTAGAATTTATCCTGGACCCAACATTTTCTAAAGTGAAAAAAATCTTCTTTAAAGCACACAATGTAATGATATTTCATTTTATGCGAATTTTCAACAAATATATCATTGTAATAATAAATTCTTCAATATAAATATTACAACTATTCTATAACTAATAATGATACCTTGATATTTTGGCAATTTTCTTCTATTTCTGTATTGCACTGGCATTTTGAAAGCACTAACGTACTATTGTATTAAGTTCATCCTATAATTCAAACAATGGCCTTATATTGATTTCATTATCATATTAGAAAGACAGAGAGTAAAGGAGAAGGAGAAAGTGATAGAGAAACTTTGTAGGTTTCAAACCTTAGAACGTTAGCTGTTTCAAAGCACCTATCAAAATAATCAAGAGCATAATTATTAAAAAGTATGGTATGTACATTTTACTACCTTCTGCTTCTTTTTCCTTCGCGTTTAGTAAAGTTTCTATTACATTAGATTCATCTTCTGATTCATGTGTTAAATCGGTATTTATTCCAGACTTAATGGCAATTAATTTTCCACTTATACTTTGTGCATCGGATTTGGATTTTGAATTTATATTGTCCCTTTCATTAACTACATAATAATATTTGTCTTCCACAGACATTTGACTTTGAGAAACATTTGAATTTGTATTATCAATGTTTTCCACATTCGATGACATATTGGACCTAATAATTAATGTGCAAAATATAGCAAATTATGCTTTGCCAGCCATTCTGCGGTTAAAAAACATCTTTTACGTTACCATATGGCAACTATAATTAAAGTAAGTAAACAATGTGATTTATTTTCTCCTGTATCATTAGAATCCAATGAACAGGGAAATGTGCCTCGATAGGTAAATGCACACAGGCTTTTTAAATTATAAAATCATTTTAGGCTTAGCTTATTCAATGTACACGTAGTGTTTCGATAACCTCATTATATTAAAATATATAAGGTTGTCTTGATAAAATTGTTTCAATAATCAAAGTGAATAAAACTTTCTCTAAATTATTACAGAATCAAAAATGAAACACGATATCAAGTCATATGAATTTTTTTAAACTTACGAATAAAAATTTTATGTAAAATGCACGGCAATAATGAACACCACTTTTCGATATATCTTTCGAATTACACGTCAGCAAAAATTTTGTACACTATAGAACACACGAAGAAAATCCTTGTTAATCTCTGATTATCGAAGGAACTGATTCATCAGATGTTATTAAATGAAAATTGTAGCTTTATAATTATTCCAAGGTATAAACGACCGACAAATACAGAATCTGTATTACAGATGGCGACATACCAACTACATGTGTACATATAAGTATGTACACATATAGCTATCTCTGACTATTGTCTCACATACACAAAGCATCGATTATTGTTAATTTTCAACTACTTTTTACTGCAGATTTTATGAATTTTACTTTATTCAGCTGACTGATTCATTTCGTTTGTTCATCGCTTTGAAATATATAGTACTCGCATTTCATACTCACTTTAATTTTAATGAGAAATTAAAAATTTTTATAATTACGATTAATTACCGGATAACAGTTATCATAATTTACAATTACGGAAAATTTCACCGTAAATACCATAATTATTTTCTAATGTACTAAATCTCTTTTCGATTTACCGGTTAATTTATATACTACTCATTATTATGAATAACAGTTAATAACTATTGCTACTTGATTGGATGAATTGTTAACTGATGTGAGGAATCGCTATCATTAGAAATCTCCTTGCTTATTAAATATTGAAACTCGCCTTCAGACTCTCATTTAACGTTTTTTTGAGAACTAATTCGTAATTACTTTCTCTTTTATAAATAATAATTAAGATATGTCGGAACGTTCTTCGTAAGATTTGAATTGAAAAAAGTGGCGAAAAGGGAGAAAGAAATTTGATAGAGGACACTACTGACTACGATTTGAATTAAATACGCGCCTTCTACAATGCAAAATACTACTTTCAATTTTCTATTAATAGCAAAATATACCGTGTTGAGGTGGAGTATTTGTTTAACATTAAACATTCGAATGTTAATAAAGCATCACACTTACAATTAGAAGTAAAACACACCTCTGTCTACTGCAATGTCCATTGTCCTCCTCATCGACGCGGCACTGTTCACTTTCAATCACTTCAAAAATTAAGGAAAACTTAATGAAAAGTACGATTCAGATATTATCGAACGCGAATAGATATACATTTAGAGGTATAAAACCAATAATTTTATCCACGACTTTAAGAACAATGAGAATCTCAATTTGATAACGGACACGGACACTGAACAGATGTTGCGTAGTCACCGAATGGCGCGAGACTGACCGCGTACCTGGCTGTACCCGGGTACTTTAAAAACCAATGGTACGTTGGAAGGTTGGGAAGTATAAACATTTACATGTGTAGAGGTAAGTGCGGTCTTATTAGCATTTGACGGTCGATTGGAAAATTCCGAGAAATTGCTTACAAGTTTGGGACTAAATGGATTTAATGACCACGAATACCATAAATTTTCCAACAGAGTTAAACATTTAAAAATTTTGTAAATTTCGTTACGTTCGATTAGATGCTTCCATGTATAAATATAAATTGTCAAAATCACAGAATTATGAATATCTATGGATGTACAAAAATCTTCATAACAAGCACAGACTTACAAGTTTTAAACATATATTTATTATTTTATTTGTTTTGTGATCCGCACATTCACACAGTTCTTACAGCTTTTTAAACTCGCATAATTTTATATAAGTTATCATTTTGAGCTGCATTCAGTAAAAATAATGTTATTTAAGCGGCAATGAATGACACTCGATTTGTGCAAATCTGGAGGTATCAAAATATCTTCTATACGTCATAAGGAAAACGATTCGATCATTCCTCTAGCGCGACAGTATTCCTCAAGTTTCCTAGTTCTTCTCTCTCTTTTTTTTTTTCATTCGTGTTACCAGTGTCCATTCTTAACAACATTGTAAATTTTTTTTTCTCGTGTGTCTTACAAGTGGAAATATTTAAGGCCTTCTTCCGCAACATAGGAAACCATGATAAGTTTGATTTTTCATTTTGTCAACAACAAGACTACAATTGCTTGCACCTTGTGATAATTGTGAAACTTACAAACAGCAATCCTACCTAAGAATACAGAACAAGTACAGAAGAATATAGAATTGTGCGATGACATTGGATTCGTTTATTTTTACTAATAGGATGCATCCTTCTTAATTTTGATTTTGAAACTGAGTTATTCTGACACACACATTTCTATATTCAACTGTTCTCGTTAACACTCCACATGACTTCTCATTGACAAGAAAAAGAAAAAAAAAGAAAACAGAAATTTCTTAGAAAGCCATTCTTACACTAAGTACACATAGTTACCATTAATCTTTACATGTATAAGCTCATTATAGTTATGGAAATATTTTATCATTTTTGTTTGCACAAATAATACATGCGCAATGGTCGATGTACTGTGTGATACTCTCAATCCCTGTTTCTCGACTTATGTCTACGAAGTTTGACTAGTACGCGATACTTTTTTTTATACAATAAATAAACATTTATCCTATTTTTGTTAAAACTATCTGCGAATATCGCAATGCAATAAATTTGATCAATGTTTAGTACCCTTTATTATGATCTTCGATATAGCAAATTATAGTTTGGAAGAAATTTTTCGTTCAACGCATTTTTGACATAATATTCTTATAGGTACAACGCATACATTTTCTTCCAAACCTATGAAAGTTTGTTTGCATTTGAGGGCTTTAAAAAACTTGTTCCTTCTCTTCGCTTAGCTAAAAATAAAACACCATAAAAATTGAATAGCTTTGCAAAGAAGCCCAGAAGGAAGAGCATATTTTCTTTCTTTCGTTTGTTTTTGGTCGTTTGGCGTCGGAAGCTTCTTATACATTCTCTTTGTGTATAATTAAAGTAGAGTAAAAAAATGTTCGTTTTTTTTATCTTGTATGAAATAAAAGGCACCAAGTTTTGCCAAACATCTAGTTTGTTCATAGGAGTTTATATCTTTCGATTTAATTAAGTGTTAACTAGGTGCAGGTATCTTATAATAAGATCTGTTCCTTTGCTTTGTGCCTGTGACATTTAACGTCTAAATTTTACGGTCGTTTCAGACAATTCGTGTGTTCTTGCATATTAAAGTTCAATTAGTTTTCAATCGCGTGTGTCGTATTATTCATTAAACTTGGAGAATGGTCTATACAGCGGTATTTTGCAATAGAAAATACATTTATAACATTGATTCTGCATCTCAAAGAATTCACATGCGATTCGTAACAATTTCAAATAATTCTTTTGACATATTCATTGTGAAATACCCAATGGTAATTGCTGCAAAAGTAACTAACTGTATATACACATACTGTATTTCAGGAAATACAAATTTTTATGCACAATGCAAGTTTACTTAATTTCAAGTTCTTGAACAAGTCCTTATTAAATAAGTATTCTGACATTCGTTTATAACACAATAAGCAGGTTTTTGGAGAATAGTTAAAGTAATACGTGTCGATTTCATTGAAACTTTGTACTTATTTAAAAAGATATGATAGTATGTATGTATATATATCTTCACTCGTGTTGTTCGTCACATGAATCAAATACATTATATACAATTACATAAAAGTATAAATATATAAAATATGAAAAATTTAGGGACTGAACAACTTTCTATTGAAACAGAAAATACTGCATACAAAGTTTTAATGAACCTGCAATACATAACAGATTATATTCTCTTTCGATCAATTTAAATTAGAATACAAGTCTTTTGGTATATTATAAATAAAAAATAGCCACTGTATCATGCATTTTTTTATGTGCAGGCGTGGCTACAAAATAGACAGTCGTAATTAGATGTAATAATAATAAATTATTAAATAATTCACGAAAACAGCAGCATTGGAATGCTGCGCATAAGATGAAAACAAAAATGTTACATATGTTTTCAACATTCAAAACAGCTTAAATACTTTGACATACTTTTTGCCAAGTTTCCTATACGTATAACAAAAGGAATATAACGTGAAATTCACAATACAAGCTTAAACCTAATACTTTATTATACAGAAGAGTTACTCGAGTGTCTACGAATATAAAACATATATCGACACAGACTCTTTTATAGTAAATATATTAAAATAATTTAAATGCAAAGCATGTTTGCAGACACTCACAGCTTCTACTGTGTTACAATTTGCAGTTTCGTTTTTTCTCCCACCTCCCCCCCCTTTTTTTAAACTTCAACAATTGTGCACTTTCATCTACCTGTCACACCGTTTGTATATGTACATTTAATGCAAGAACCATAATCTATATTCTATCAGTAAATTAAAACGATTGCATTATATATATCGTTACACCCAATATTTTTCCAGTGCTGCCTTTTTTTGTACTATTCGTTTAAAAATACTGAAAGAATATTGTATGGAGTGTAACAGACGGCTTACAACAGAATTCTTTTATGTAACTCCACGTATAATTAATAAGTCACGTTAAAAAATATGAATGTTCGAAATATCTAAAACTCGTACAATTATACAATTATAGTGATCTAATTTGCATCTGCTTCAGTAGGAATATTCTTTTATTTTCTTTTTTTCTTTTTTTTTGACAATACCATCGGCAGGGCGGATTTCATTAAACGTTACTCAAGTATTTGTGCAAAATAGAATCCGTCGATATGAGAATACATTTTTTTGCACAAACTGAAGTTTACTACTTCAAGCTCACTCGATTTTATTTTTACGTAACATTCCATTCAAGTGAAACTCATAGACATCTCATAAATAAAATATTTAAATAATACAAAACGCGGGATAACCTTTTATATAAATCAATTCAATTTACTAACATAAATAAATAAGTACTACTACATATTTCACTAAATTCATCGAAGTCTCGACTTCGGGAAACGTCGTCGAAATAAGAAAACTAAATCGAGCAAGCTTTCGATATTATGTATATGCTATAGGGGCATGATAAATTCATGGTCCCATATATTTTTCAAAGATGTCTCGACTAGAAGATACATTAACATACTAAACATCGTGCCAGCGATACCTTACACTTGAATTATAATGCTTCCTTGTACGAAACAAGACTGCAGTACATATTCCTACATGTTATATCACACAGACTTACTTAGTTTGTATATATCCTGGGCGTTATGTAAAAATCCTTCCTTTGTTAAGTCATAATGCGACAAGATCTCGTTCTTATACAAAATTATAATTTATGGGACTAGTGTGTTAGTAGGCCTGCATGCTCTTGTGCTAACGTTTCCCTCTCAAGTGCTACTGGTTTACTTGCAAACTAGGGGCGTAGGCACGCAGTTAGCTTAGTTTCATACGCTTTGGTTGATTTGTGTTTGATGTATCTGAAAAACCAAAATATTTTTCCTCAAGTTAAAATACTCTTTCAGAAATTAATACGAGTGACAAGAAAATAAGTCACCTCCGTTAGAAGTCGCGCCAAATACATTGACTAAAGAGCAATTTTGACTCTTCTGAAAGGAAATACAATTCACCGTTGAAGAACAGAATAATAAAAACATAGATGTAGAACTATTTAAAAAAAAATACATACATCTCCCATAACAGCTATTGGAGTTGTTCCTGTGGCAATTGCTACTTGGTGTTCAATCAAGTAGAACATGTATTCATCGTATAATAACCGAATGAGGTGAAAAGACCCAAAGCTAGCTGCACTCCTTAAAGTGAGGTCACGAATAACCATAGAGCTGTTCAACAAATAGTAGATATAATCAATTAATTATATTAATATACTTATATGAATTATAAGTTATTAAGTCTGTAACATACTTATATGAATTAAGTACACGTATGCTTGATATATGTACCTGTAAAAGGACCACTTGAGCAAAAATTGACGCGCAGCCTTTGCAAAGGTAGGTTTCTCTTCGAATGGTTTAAGAACTTGCGTCACGACACTCTTCAACCAAATCGCCCAATCTTCCAATGAATTTTGTTGTTGCAGGGTTACTTTAAAATCTGCCTCCAAGCGTTGCACCATTGCATAATCGCACTGACAAACCCACGAAGCCTAAAAGCAATGTACTCGTGTATTCCGTATATAGCTCTAACTCGTACCTAAACGTAATTTTCATTCATTTAGTGCCAGTATGAGTACCTGTTCTTGTACATTATGAAAATCAACACGGTTCAGATCCGCCAACATTTGATTTATTTGACTAGAATTTTGAAGAACTGCACGTGCGGCTTGAGCAAGGTGGTTCAGAGACGTGTAACGCCTTAGTGTCTGAGCAAACGCAGATACGGCGGTCAACTGAAATTAAATTTGCTTATGCAGAAGTAGCTTTCGAACGTACAAATGCATGACAAGTTGATTCAACAGTACCTTTATTTGCGTCATTTCTTCCGGACAATCAGCCATTGCTGACGTTAGCCACGATTCTAATCCTTTTGCAAAATTTCGAATAGACTGTGTCAACGAACCTAAAACATGGAATATTAATATTATTACAGAATAGGTTCAAAAACACAAGTGCGCACCAGCACTGAATTGAGATAACTCACTTGGTATAGGTCGTAATACATTTGGCATTAGTACTTCGACCAAGTTCTGATAAAATGTATAGTCAACTTTTCTAATGAAATCTTGAACTTCGGAACACTTACACATCTGATACAGTTTGGTTCTAGGTATGCAATAAATTCAATTAGGATGGAGTTCACTTAAGAAAAGGAATTTCATTTAAAAATCTTACTTCGATAAATATTTCTCTTCCTCGCACTCGTCACCGTTATTATTATCCTGGCTACGCCAAAATTCTCTCCACAGGCTTTCCACGGTAGCGAATTCAAAATTGAGAACAGCATCCAGAAACGCTTCGCAATGTTCCCTGTATATACTCCGAAACGTGTCGATATCTTCTAACGTACAATCCTCGGGCAGAGACGAACCATGGCCAACGATTATTTCGGGAAATTCTGGAATTGCACCGCTCGCTTCGCCGAGATACTGATGGTACTGCGGCGGTGAAGTGTTTGACGTGATATTTGTATTTGAATGCGTATTATTTTCATACGTAGTGTCTTGCTTTTGGTTTACAAATTTAAATCGCTTCGTTTGAGAGTTTGCGCTTTGTTGCTGACGAGGTGTTCCATCCTCATTTAACATTACCAGAGGAGAACTCGGTTTCACTCGAATCCCATAGTAATGATATTTTGAATTTCCTCTGTTACAAAGTACAAGCAACCACAATGTATTGTTAGGTTACAATGTTAACTGTATTTATATGACAAACGTGAGATTTTTACCTGGTGCCTAACCGTCTGGTTCTTAAACCCAAAAAGACAGAGCGAATTAATTTTCCAAAGCTTGCTGCGTTCACAGGGTCTAATTTATTTTCAGAACAATGACGCAGGTAATGATTATAAAGGGTTGATCTTGGGAGAGAGACACCATCCGCTGTTTCATAATTTTCAAGCAACCAGTGAACCTAATTAAATAACAGTTGATTGCATTTCTGAAGATAGAAAGGAATTCCATTTTCTCCCTAACTACAATACACATTATGTATAATACAAAAAAGTATTTAACACAACACTACGTTACTACTTTCGAACGTATTCCCTGTATTACTATAGGAATATGAACGAAATCTTGAATTTATTAAGCAAAAGCATCCCTAAGGAAGTTGTTATTTCTGATAAACGTGCTGCAAAAACTTAATGTATGATGAAGCCTTTAATAGGGATTGTGATCAGCTTACTGTTGCTTGGGAAACTCTAGTAGCATGCGTCATGTTTGCTGCCGCAACTGCAGCATCTTCCACGGTGACAGTGGTACCTCCTGCATTACCGCTGATCAAGTATGCCCCTCCACCCCCGCTAACCACAGTTTCCTATCAAACAACCCAAGATACCAATAGCTCATTAAACCCCAAGTAGGAGATACACCGTTTTTTGGTTACAAATTTTACATATGCCGAAGAAAAATAAAATGTACACTTTAAACAGGTATAATTTCAATCCAAATTATCATTCGTTCATCGGTACGAAAATTTAGTATCAAATAAACACCGCCATTTCCATCCCTTCATGATCATGCAGGGCTCTTCCATGCCTGTGATTTCCGAAAGATTACTCACGAAAAGGTAAGTCAAATATAAAAAATAAAAGCAGTTGCAAATTAGAATTGTAAACATGCATCAGCATCTTACCGCATTCTCCGTTTGTGGACTAGCTCGTGCAGCAGCTGTTATTAATGCGTGAGCAGTAGGATCGCCATCCACGACGCTTTGTTGAATCAGATACGTGCCGTTGCCCTGAGATAATAGCTGTCCTGTCGTCGAATTCGAACCTTGACCAGTGACCTATATTCACAGAATTATTATATGGTAACACATCGAGACTAATATTATGTGCTTCTGTCACATTCATTAGTATAAGGTCAACATTTTCATAAATTACCTGTGCATATGTCACTGGCGTAGATGCTGGTGTGTAATATTGACTCGAAGCAGGAGTGTACATTGCTCCTGTTTCCCCAACAGCGTATACAGGATATGTCCTACAAATACGAAAGTTATAAAACTAAGTAGCAGTAGACATTATACGTATCTCTGTACTTACATCTGACCATTCGTCGGTATATACGTGGAACCATCCCCCTCAACATATTGAACATAGGTAGGGTGAGAGACTGATTCGGACCCCACTGCCTCTGGCTCACCTGATACTGAAACAAATGTGGCAGATATTAGCTTATATACGGAAAATAATCCTGTTATCCGAATGAAGCTTGACAAAATGCACACAACACTTAAGTATTGCAGAATTATACATTACTAAAAAGGTTTACTAAAACAAATTCTTACACTCTTGAAATGTAATCATTATATTCGAATATTTTTGTTTAATTTTTTTTTATCTAGTATCATATTATATTCCTATAACTGTACTTCTGTAAATAATTCCTCGATACATGCAGAACGAAGCGTGATCGACAAAAAGTTTTTTGTAATTCTATAGATACGCTGGATTTTGTATTCGTAAAGAAGAATAGTGGCATGCTGATTATATTCTGCCCTCACCTACTGCCGTTGTGAGGGACGCGTAGGATGGTGAATCACTGGTGCCTAGTGTAGTCAGAGTAGAAGAACAGAGGTGCATGTTTTTCGGCAGCATGGAAAGGGCCAAATCTCTACTCAAACACTATAATTTTTCAAACTGATCCTGATACTCACCCTTAACAATAAACGACTTAAAAGAAGTCTTTCAACTACTTATATTAGTAAGTTCTTCTGTTAATGTGTATTATGTACACTAATTGTTATTACACTAATTTTTCAAATTTATCGGGCGTTCGGATGTTTATAATGAATAATAATTTTGCATCTAACACAGATGAGATAAAAATTAAATGGATATGTTACATTCAAACCTCACCTGTAACAGTGATGAAATGTGGAGAACCACTGACAATAGTGCCAGCCGATGTGGACGCAGAGTCTGAATCGACAATAGTGTGCTGACCCGAATGTGTAGTGTTCACTACAACCTGTGCTGTAACATGCGCTGGAGTACCTGTTGAGCCATTGGAAGAATCTGCAGATGTGTCAAGTGGATCCTGCACCAACAACTAAATTATTATTTATAGTATGCATGTCCTTTGGATCAAATGGTTCTGTGCAATGATAAAAATGTATTAAAGAGAGAATGAATTCAATAGTATCTAATTAACATATAAGATGAATTTTCTCAAAACATATAATATAGATACATGTAAAATTGTAATTGTTTACTTTAATAGTCAAAAGTCTTTTTAATAAGAATGGAGTTATTATAATATAATGCAACAAACCTGTATAGGTTGTAGATTGTTTGGGCTGGAAGGATCAGGGCTCGTAACAACAGTGATAAGTTGCTGTCCCCTTGTAGATTGACTCTGTGCTGCACTACCACTGCCACTGGAACTGGAAGTGGTAACAACAACGACGCTTGGCTTAGGTTCCACCCCCACTGTTGCAGAGTTACCCCCACTGTTATTAGCTCTGGCGGATGCTGCAAGGGCATACTGGGCTCCCGTCGTAGTCATGGTAATCACTCCTTCACTTCTCTCTGCTCCCACGATATCACCACCACTGCTACCTGTCCGTTTCTGAAGGGAAGGGTCTGTAACATATACGTACAACCCACACAAATGTAGCAAATATCAATAATGTCTTCCAACAGACTTGATGTATGAACCGCTGGTATAATATCTGCTTATAAATCTTTATGAGAAATAATTGTCAGACAAAATGGGTTTATTGATAAGTTAAAGAAACAAAATTACCACTAAACATGTTATACAAAGTAACAAAAACATTGGAAAATTCTGAAATTAGAGTAAGTAAAGAAAATACGTTTTTTTTTATTAGATATAAATTTTCTGCTTTCTATAATAACTCAATATAATCTGCACAGGGTATGCTGGCCCACACTATTATATCATAACAATCATCTATAAATATGCAATAACTAGGAAATGAAAAAAAAGTACGGCATTAAATGTATCGAAATTTTATTATTATTATCATCAACGAAAGCTTAGTAACATATAATAAAAAGCGGCGATACCTATATAAATCGGACTGTTAGATATACTGCTGTATTAGTGCACCCTAACCTACATAAAAAAAAAAACGATTGGCCACGTAATTTCTCGCAGGTGTGTGCAGAATTCAATAATCTAGAGATCAAAAGAAAGCCCCGAGAAGGTTCCAATACGAACGAAACACGTCATTGTAGGTCTAAACGTGTAATATATTAAGATGTGTTGGTACATCCTGTACCTGTTGGGGTGGCAGGTACCAAACACAATGTTTCAAAGGGACGAAAACTAAAGGGAGAGGGGTGATAGGTAAAATGCATTGTACGCGTGACTGGACGTATAAAGCCCTTTTTCCAGAGGGTTGCAGGTATCAGTAGAAAAGGTCAGATCATAGATGCAATTAGAGAGCATTAAGCCCCTTCCCAGTGGTAGTAATACATCTCACAATTAGTCCAAAAGTTGCTGGGAGGGATAAAGTTTTACAGCTGCAGAAGGGTGGGAATTTTAAGTGAATATTTTACCAAAGAGATTACAAACTTCATTAGTTAAATTTTTTGCAATTTCTTTTTCCCTTCTGAATCGTATTTAAATTTTATACAAGGAAAAAAGGAAATGTATTTTGTATAATTCTTGCTTAATACAAGGCTCTGTGTCATTCTGTGAAACAGTAATCATATTGAAAAGCATATTGTGTGTGCACCTGGCCACTGTTATGCATGGCTGATGCTTGGGACTGCTCTGCATACCTCATCTATTTTACCTTGCATGCATATGCCCTATTCTTTTACTATTTTTTCTGAAACATTTATACAACTAAAAATTTATTGAAAAGGGTATTAATTTTATTGGATAGTTATTGAAAGGAATAGATTTAAGTTCATTTTAATAATCTATTGACGATTGAATGTTCAAGCATAGCTACTTTAAAGCTATGCACTTTCTTCATGCCTCAAGAAATTCATTCATGTAATTGATAAGCCCATTTTAATTAACAGCTATGGAAGCTTCCAAATATTAGATACCCTATGGATGAGGGGACACAATAAAATCGCTAAAGCGTGACTCAGTAGGGGAATATAGAAAGAAGAAATCTGCAATGGTTTCCTCCCATCATGATAGTAGGTACAAGGAATTTATTATCCCTTGGTACAAGGATATTAAAAGAAAAACAGTTCAAGTGAAAAATTACAACATACATTATTCATTTGGCCTGTAAATTTAACACAAACTTTTGTACGGCATTAATCTTTTTATGTTTTCACGTAGCTTCCAAAATAATTAAATTCATATATTACAAATCAGATAAGAGTCAATGTAATGCAAACAGTTGAAATTGAAACTATATAATGAAAAGCTCAACATTGTTAAATACATGATGACAAGGTATTCCCAGACCAAGAATACGAAGTAATTAATAAACGACCGGTAAACTCCTTGACTGTGAGTACCTAGATTAAACTTATACATCTATTAACTGTCACCAAACTAAATACGTATTGCAGATGATAACCGAGCGTTCCGAAATCAGAATTCGACCTGTTCGTGCACGAATATTTCTTCGAGAGCGTGAATCGCGAATGAAAAACGTAGCATTCGAATAAATAGTAGCTACGATCGTAACGGAGCATGATTTATACATCTTTTCTTTACTCACCTGTCTTCATGAATGGCGTGTACTCTGAATACGACGCCCGGGCGCACTTGCGCGGCCGAACGTGTCCCCCCGCGTATTCCGGTCAGGCTTTTCCCGTTCAAGGAATAACCGTGCCTGTCACCCAGGAAACCACGCGGACAGCCGAGCCACTGTGTAAGCGAAAAAAAACGGAACAGCCCACTCCGACAAACCTGTATATTTTGTTGTCGACGGCTAGTCGGAGTGTTAGTTGTCTGCTGCTGCGGTCTCCTTGGCTACGGCATCACTGCTCGCGTCACAACCAGTGCCGTACAGGGTACTTGTCTGTTAGGGTGCAATGCATTGGCGTAACTAGGTAGGGGTCAAGGGGGTCTGCCCCCCCCCCCTAAGAATGCGAACTGGTGCCCCCGTCCAGAAATTAATGAAATATGTAAAAAAAAAAAACATTCGTTAGTTAATAAAATCAATTGAAGGTCCGGATACAATAAGGAAACTAGCGCTCGAGAATGCGAAAAATATTTTGGCAAAAGAAAAACAGCAAATTGAAGCTTATATAGATTTTAACTGCAGGTATTTGTACGTAATATATTCCTGCTTTTAATCAATCTCCAATTTTTTTTATTTAAGAGTTATGTTTATATCTTTCTATTCTTAGTTTTAGTGTTAGAATAAATATGTAAATAATTATTATAAAATATGTAACTTTATTTTGTGCAACCCATGTAGATGGTATAAAATACATGTGTCTGATGGGGAGTGTTCTGGGCGAAAGTCAGGGGACCTAGCCTCCTCAGATAAAAATCCTAGTTACGCCAATGTTGCAATGTCCCCGACGATAAATGGAAGGTTCAATATGTTCAGAATACAGTAGTCTAAATAGCACTGGATCTTTGAACGAGCTAATATCATGGCAAAGGATGCATTTCTGAGATCAGTATATTTGGAGACAATATGACACGACTATGATATGATACGATCTAGCACACGCTGTGAATAGTCGCGTGCGAACGAAGAGCGCCCTTATCATAGAGGGGATAGTAGTGAGTAACTAATATGTATATGTATACAGGGGGTAAATTTACTAGCTTACTATCAGTTAAAAGGGCATTTTTAATAGTAAGATCGTGTGATTACGAATAATTTAGAAAAGTGAATACCCTACGAGTAGCTTGTTGTGAAATTTGAGAAAGTGATTTAAAAGTCATTTTAAAAAAATCAGAACCTTGAAATACAATTCGTGTAATTTTTACTAGACTTTTGATACGGCACTGAGTAACGTCGTGAGTGTCCCCCTTTTTGCTTCGATAGGCAGTCAAACGTTCGATTAAATCGTTGAAATCAGAATACTGATTTACAGAGGTACTTAATTTCATTTTTAACAAGGTATCCGTAGATTAAAAACAATAAATGTTCTAAATCGAGGTCATATTTGATTTGTATGTGAGCTCTCTTTTGTGCGTGCGCAATGGCATATTAATGCGCACACCCGCATGACACCCATCAGCCGCATTATGATACTCCTTTTGCTCCAATAAATATAATTTTTCTTATCAATCATCAATTTTCAGTAACTTGAATGTATTCGATAAGTTAAAACATCATTCCTGATTGATTTTAATGTCCGTTCAGTACATTCGAATCGAGTAACCAACCAGTAAATAACACCGCGCTTTCGTACGGCGCATTATTTAAAATCATCGAGGTATACGAAATCCGTGAATTATATTAACTTATGGAATGAATTGTTAGACACTAATGCATCAGAAGAACAAATAAACTGAACCAACCTGTCTGAAATTGTTAAACGCATAATATTCTATGATAAGAAATTTAGAAAAACTTTGAGGACTGTGACTTATATTTTTAAATGAACTTACTCGCCATCGGATTTTGTGAACGGTAGTAAATAATAGGCAACGAAGATTCTTCCGCCATCATAATGGAATATCTCTTGGAAAAACTGGAACTGTACTCGTCATTTTCCAACCAGTTCATCACTCGTGCGAACCGTTCGAATTCTTGATCGCGGGAAAAAAGTATCGTGTGTATCCCAGAGATACGGTTTCTACGGGGGCAAAATATTTGCCTTTTTAGAAGAAGAAGAACGTGCGGTTTCTCTTCGAAAAAAGGCGGGCACATCGTGTTTACGCGACACAGCCCACTAAATCTATCACATGTTAGGTTAATTGTAATTTTTATTAACGAATAAATACGTTTCTATCAACGTAATGTAATTATACCTGAAGTTTTCCTAATTGTTTTCCCGAAACTATAATCGATGCGCGTATATCGTAATGCTGCGCATTGTGACGCAGTATCGTCGAAGCTCTGTCCGGTTGACAGTTCGAAGATGATGACTTCTTCGGAAAACGAAGTTGGAATTCTAGGTGAAAAAGCTACGGAAGATTCCGCGATTTTAGAAGTAAGTACGATGGCAGTTGGTGGTCTTATCAAACAAGAAAGCTGCGACGCGGACTTCCTCTCGAATTGCAGCACTTCTATGGAAGGTTCTGTGGTAAGATTATAACCTGAAACTTCTTTGACAATCACGTTAATTGTCAAAAGTTGGGAATAATGTTCCACTTGGATGGATTCGTTGAAAACTAGTAGTAATGTTGTAAAATCAATCCTTTAGATAGCATCCCCTTCTATCGATAGTTTTTCTACTTTACCCGAACAAGAGATATCAGACTTTCAAACAGACTCCAGGGATCTACAGGTGAAAGTAGACAATCCACAGAAGCATCTTGAAACGCTTGAAACTTATATTACTTTTCGTATAACAACAAAAGTAAGTTCGAGTTAATTTCTGATAGATTGTACGAAAAGATTGTTTAGTAATGTTCCTATATTATTTCAGTCTACCAGGCCAGAATTTGAAGAGGGAGGATTTGAATACATTGTCCGAAGGAGATACAATGATTTTATTTGGTTGAGACAGAAGTTAGTGGATTCATATCCAACGCATATCATACCAGTAAGCTGTTACATATTGCGGAAGTAGATGATTAGAATTATCTCAAACTTTTTGAAAAAGATTGTATCTTAATTTTCTTATTACAGCCAATGCCTGGTAAACATACCTTACTAGCTCAGCTAGATCGATACTCCAAGGAATTTATCATAGCCCGTATGAAACTGTTACATGTATTTCTTAATAGAGTTGTTAACCATCCTATACTTAGCTGTGACAAAAATTTGTACATTTTTTTGACCACTAAACCTGCTGTGAGCATATCACTTCATTTTGTTACTTAATATACTTTCAGATATTATACTTTCTCTCATTCTAGGAGTTCCTTATACATCGTAAAAATCGTGCAAATGTGCTTGTCAAAATGACTGATTCCTTACAAAATATAGCAAGCACATACACCATGAAGCAGCATCACTTTGAATTTGAACAGATTAGAGACTACTGTACAGCCCTTAGTGAGAAATTAGCAACTATAGACAAAATAAATCATCGTATACATAAGGAGAGGCAAGGTATTTTAACAAAACCTTAAGTTCTTACATACCATGAATATGTATGGCTATTATATCAAACATTTGTATTATGTTACATTAGACTATTTGCTTGAGCTGCATCTACTGCACCCGATATTCACCTTATGGGCAACTTCTGAGCCAGAACTTGCCCCTATTTTATTAGCAATCGCCAAAGCTATAGAATTTAATGCAGTGGCTCACCAAAAGCTTCTAGAAAATGTTCCGCATGAAGAGCGAGAGTACATTTCGTATATAGATGCAGTCAAGAGTGCTCTGTCTCGGCGTGATTCGATGCAAATTGAATACGAAATGACTGTGGACGATTTGACGAAGAAAAGATTTGAAAAAGATCAGGTAAGCGAATCGAATGGTACAGCTTCAACTCGGATTCTGTAATAGCTTATAATATCTTAATCGTTTAAACAGTTAATGGGGCTCACAAGTGGCACAGCCTTGACGCAAAATTGGGGTGGATCGTTGTGGAAGGCAGAGTCACGTGACGAAAAATTGGAAAGACTGGGACTGGCAATTCCGAGGTTAGCCAAACAAGCGGAAGTGTTGCAAGATCGCGTGGAATGCGCGAATGAAAATTTGCGTAGTGATTTACAAAGATGGAACATGGAGAAACAGATGGATCTGAAGAATATGCTAGTCACTATGGCCGATCGACAGATTCGGCATTACCAGCAATGTATGAACGCGTGGGAGGAAATTCTCACCGGTTTAAAGTTAGACGGAATTGGATCTGATGTTAGTGTAGGACCGCCGATTAAAATACCAGTTTGAACAACAACAAACCCTATTTTCACATTTGGACACATGTACACACCGTAAACACTTCATGAATTTATGAAGGTAAAATACGTAAACCACAATGCATCTGCCATTAATGACGACATCTTTATTGCAATTAAGGAACTGACCTTACCAGCTTCTTCGATGTCATTGCTTCAGCAATTAAATAACTTCGCCTCTTAAGTTTTAAATGTTCTTTGTTAATCGTATATATATATATATATATACACATATATATAGGGTCAAAATTCAGTATAGAATCAACTAAGATATTAAGATGTATCTTCTTTTAGATCACCAGTTAAGTTTGGGACCAAGTACTAAATGATTTTCACTACTCCTTCGTTTTCTTACTTTGAATCACATACAATACATTCATTGACAATCAGTTTTTTTCGTCACCTGTATCTAATAGATATCAAAGTTATCTATATATCCATAGATAGTCAATGTAATGATTCTAAAATACAATTTACAAATTCGAGCAAACACTTACAATGTTCGTTGTATCGTTAATCAGTACTCTTATTAATCTACGTTATTAAGTTCCTCGGACGATCTATACGGCAGCACTTAATAATCAACTTATACAGGTAGTCTTGTGAAAAAAAAGCACTGAATCTATACAACGTGTCATATCTGTTGTTATCCACGCTTGAAACTAACGATTCTCGAGATAGTTTCTACATACTATACGTATATGGGATACGGTTTCAATACATTCATTACATTGCACACGGTTATCTTATTAATGATGAAACTCTTAGATTTGTATCAATAAATAAATTATTGTTTGCAACATACTGTTCATTCGACGGTTACCTTATTCGATCGAAGTGTAATTTGGCATTGGGGTTATGTAGAACTCCACCAAATTGTCCAAATCGTACAGTCTCGTTATAGATTCACCTGTAAAACGTTTCGCATGCTTTTCGTTATTTCATTCAACAATATGTTCTTGTTTTTTGTTTAAATACTTACCAGCTAGAGTCATTTCATTGTGCAAAAACCGCACGGTGTGCGAGTATGGTTGTTGTATCTTCTCCCTTAATTTCGGTGCTAAACGTCGAGTCGGGTTCCATAATGGACTCCGAAAATTGGGAACGTTCATACAGTTTGGTTTCCAGGACTCTGGTTTCACTTCTTCCATGGGTAATATATCTGTTATTCTGTACTCACTTGTGTCGATGTTCCACGTAAATTTGCATCCCACTTCGTATTGTTTTCTTTCTTGAGAACTGTATGCATTTTAGTTTGAAATAAAGACTTGTAAAGTGTAGTCGAATTTTCTAAACGCAACACGATACTGACCATTGCGTCTGGTTACTAATTTCACTAGCTTGGATCTTCATAATTAATAAACAAATAATATCACCGCTTAACGCGCATATGTCGATGATTTCAATGTCGTAATCGCTACAGTGCCAATATCTTTTTTTAAATCTCATACAAATCCAGTCAGCGATGTGATGAGAGAACGTTTCTATGTCGAAACTCAATTGATTTATCGACACGCAAGGTACTATCTGAAAATCCAGAAAGCTCTCCTTTAAAATTCATTCGGGCTATTTCTAGATAACGAATCGTCAATAAAAAAAAAAAGAAAAAACACGCAGCTTGAAGGCAATACCAGTTTCTCAGCTTTGCTGTTGCTGATCATTTGCATTTGCACATATCCAGATCCATGGACATGCATAGGAAGCACACATTGGTAACTCACGTACCCTCCTGTCTCTTCGTCTATGAAAATGTATGCACTCTTTTATCGTCTTATCTCTTACTTCGTTTAAATAAACATACCTTCAACATCTGTGATTACTGATATCATTTCGTCGTCCAATTCTATGTAACTTCTCTTAAAATGCGCGGTGCATTTTATAGTAGGATATTGTAAGTTTATTTTCGGAACCAACGGAGACGAATTTACAAAATGTTTGCCCACACGGTCCCTGTTTATGGCTCCATTAGGCAGCTGATTTTGATTCAATGGACGAAGGACATTCTTCTCAGCTACAACAATATGAAACAATAAACGTTGAATGAATTTTCCTTCTAATGTGTATCACCAATTTACCTGAATCCACCGTTACGTCGTTCGAGGCTCCAATATCTTGATTAATACTAAAATCATCAGTTTCGCTTTGATCAGAGTCCACCCAGTGTTTCTTGCCGTTTGGCAGTACAGGCGACATAGTTGGGGACGACGGTATCTGATGTATCGAACATCCACGGTGTCTGAACTGATCCCGTATGTGTTTGAAAGGAACTATATTCTCGGCGTCCTCCGTTTCGTCGCAGAACTCGTACTTCTTGTCGGCGAGCCTACGTTTTCTGAACGAACTGAGCTTCTCGCAAGTCTCCTGCGCCTCGTCCGTGAACTCGTACGCTTTCTCCGCCTCGAGGATCAGCTTGTGCGTGGCTCTTGTCCTCGACTGGGTGGTGTTCACGATGGGCGGTGGGGAGTGTAAGTTAGACCGTTTACGTGGACTCGGATGACGAAAGGACCTCGACACAGGCGGTGACATCAAACGTGATGAAGAGGAAGGGCTCATGGAGACCGAATGAAGCGGCGAATTAACGGAAGTCACGTTGTTATCTTCGGACGCGCCTGGTTGGGGGGAATTTGAGCGTTGACTGCGACTGCTTCTATGACTAGATTCCGAATTACGGGTCTTAAGAATATCCGATGGCGGCGTAAGAATAGGTGACGACCAGCAGCTGGTCGTCCTGAGATCCGAGGGAAGCCTTTGCGGCGTGGACCGTGGTGAACACGACGGATGCTTTACTAGAGTAATTAGATCACTACCGATGTTAAGCTCCTGGGACATATCCTCGCAGAAGTCCTGCAGGATCTTGTCCCTGACCGATATCGCTTGCTGCTCGGTCCGACAGATTTCTGGCCTTGTAGTCAGGCATCGACATTCGCCGATGTCCGTACACTCGCACGACTTAACACTTATGATATCAGCAGACTTACGTATATCACAGACACAATCGCTTTGATTACTGTTCGAGGTATTCGATGGATCATGGGTTAACTTATCATCTATTCTAATCAGTTCATCTAGAAAGTCATGTTCTATACTCGATTCGCATCTCGGGGATCGATCAACCGCGCACTCTGGCGTACCTAATTTCTCGTCTGAACTCTCGTAACGTTCCACCTTCGTGTAATCCAATTCCTCCACATCACTCATGTCTAATGGCACCGTGTCAGGAATTACAGTGTCCTGTTTATCACAACTCTTCTGATTTTTCGACCTTGGAATGTCCAAATCCACCCTGAGTACGTGCAGAAAATTTCCTGTATTAACTACCACGTGGTTCCAATAATTCAGACAGACAGTGGCTCGGAACCTAGGATAGGGGGAAATTACTTCGTAGGTGGTATGGACAGTCAGTCCGTGTTGAAGACAGTTACATCTTACACAACCGTCCCAGTTGGCAGCCAACTCTATGGAAACATAAAGCATAGATTTTTGTATTCGGTAGACGCATACAACACCGCGAGGATTCTTGTGTTTACCTTCACCCTCTTCTTCGTAGGATGCAGCAACTTTCAAACAATCCTTGCAGTTCTCGAGGGATGGAACTGTAGTGATCGTTAAGTATGCTCTGTCTGTTGGTTGCAAGTGCAACCAGTTTGTACTGAAAATTTTCTTATCAATTAATCTGTGAATCATTTTTTTAAGATATCTAGTAATCGAAATAATTCAATTAAAGCTTACCAAAGGCCATGTATCACTAGTTTATTCCGTTCCATTGGCCATTGGGATATGACAATGCTAAGTTCTCTATAGATAGTATAATTACCAAAAAGCGTAACCTCTGCTACTTTACGAACAACATGGTTCGGAGTGAAAGCCCACCAGTGTAACAAGTACTTGTACAAAGAAGTATTTCCACTTACATCCATTGTATATGTGTATGTGAGCAAGAACTGACCACATTGTGTCAATCCCATTACAATGTGCCTTCAATGATAAGAATAATTATTACAAAGTCACTTAATAAGCTTCTGTGTGTCCTAATGCATCTCTTCAATAAAGGTATGTATACACATTCCAAACATACCCCGCTTCTAATGCAGATTTTGGGATAACGTGTAGAAGTGGCAAGTGTCTCCACGAAGGTACAGTAGCAAACAGTCTTTCCTCTGATGCATAATTATGTGCTGATAGACAACCTCTGATCTATAATATTAATTGTTTAATAATATTGTGACAACCCTACAAATGCACACTATAAATGATGGCATTGTTTAGACTGTCATGCGATAAAATTGAACTTTTAACTGAATGCAATATATCAAATTTAGACTGGAGAAAACTATAAAAATAGTAGAAATATTTCGAATCTTTTTATAGCCCACAACAATTCATTAATTTCTCGTCTACCGCTGGGTATCATGCAATTACGATTTCATACAAATAATAATAGAAAAAATAAGGGACAAATGGCTATTACATGGGCAAGAACAAAAGCATGTTTTTTCTTGCAACCATTAATAACATCAGCGCTATGAATAATCCAACAACGAACATGCGAATACATCGAGAAACAATTAAATATTCTTTTTCTCGAAGATATTCTCCTTTTTTTGTTTAAACTGAAGACGTGCTTTTGACAGATCTATGCGCGTTTGTGTGTATGTATGCTGTCATTAACATCTCAACGAGTTGAAGGTTAAGCAACCGTACCTCTCTTAAAAATAACTTCTGTAAGAAATGTCTTTTACTGCGACGATGGGACAGACACGGTTTCTGGCCCACTATAACGTACTCCGATCGTTCGGAGGTAATATCAGAGAACCATTCATTGCAACAATCTGAGGTAGTGTCGGAAGACGATGCGTCCGCCATTTTTAAATAACCCTACTGAGAGATAGACGCATGCAGAGAGCGTCCAGAAGATCAGAAAACACGATTCACCAGGCTTTGCCACATGGGCGCACGAGTCGAATTGTTTTTATGCCTCCTCCGCGAACAACTGTGAGGAATATACTGTCGACCTTTCGATTCTTTGATCTTTTCAACGAATTATTACAAGATATGTTCACGATTCTGATAAACGAACCGGATAGAGACTCGACACGAGAATTGCACGCACGGTATTTAACTTTGTTTCGAATTCATATCGGTCAATAAAAAATACAAGATTCTTATAACCCTGAAGGGTTAAGGAACTCCAATATCGTATGTAACACGGACAACGGGGGGCAAATTTCCGTCGAAATTTAAATTACGTCGTAGGGATTTCTGATGACATTTCAGCCTTTTTCTTTTCAGCAATGTCGCTTTAAATCAAATGAATTTTATCACGCTAAAGACATGGACATCACGCTGGACGACAGATTAAACGTATTGCAACAAGTAAGCCAACTAAAGCTTGTTGAAATATTGGACGTGATTCCTGGGGCTAAAGACCTAGTAATAGAGCAAAAATTAATGAAAATTTTTGACAGTTTTGTAGGAGTTTCTGTGCTCAAGTAATTATCTTCAGTTATCATAGCTCATTTTAAAATCAATGTTGAATAATGTTGTCTTTTGTTTAGGCGCTACGGAGTTAACAAAATTTATAAACTGGAACAAGGTCTGAAACTTTCAAACTCTCAACGTATCTTCATAGTAACCAGTGACTTGATCTCTTGCAAAAGAGCATTGGATCAAATACAGTCAGAGATTTCACCAAATGTAAAACCACATGTACTGCCGTGTCATCATATTTTAATCACTCCGTTTGTACCAACAGTTCTTCACTCGATTATCGAAGAAGAGGGTAATCGTTTACATACTATTCATTGGGTACAATAATACTAAGTGTATTATAGTCAATATATCATTATTTGTTTAGGCTTATCTGGACTCGTGAATGTACACTCATTATCATGGGAATTCATAAGATTCGATGGCAATGTCTTATCTCTGGAAAACTCTATGTTTACTGATATCTATTATCACAAAGATACCACTTTGTTACCGGCATTAGCACGGAACTTATGGTCACTGCAGCTTATACTCGGCTCACCCAAGCTGATTCTTTCGTTTGGTAAACATAGTCAACAGATGCTTAACATTATGGATTCTATAAAGCAGTGCTTAGGCTCGTCGAACATAGAAAATGAAGTTGGAGCTTTAATTCTAATGGATAGAAATTACGATCTAGTCGCACCACTTTTAACCCCAGTAACGTATGCTGGTTTATTGCATGAAGTTGTGGATGTAAATGTCGGTACAGTTACCTTAGGCAAATCTCAAACCAAACTGGACCCAGATAAGGACCAGATTTATGGAGAAGTAAGAGATACACCATGCAGCGACGTTTTTCCTACTTTACGTGGAAAGGCTAAATCTCTAAAATGTACACGCAATCTTTGTATATATTCCTCTTAGTAATTCGAATTCGATAAAAGTTAATAATAATCTCGATATTGTGTATTAGCTGAACTGACTGCGATAGAAACAATGAATATATCTGAAATGGAGCGATATGTGGCGACTAGATTAAAGAAGATCAGTGACATGACACGTCAAGTGGGTATTCACATATCTACCGGTCAACTTATTGCAGATACATTGGGCTCTGACTTTCAAACCCTGCAACAGATAGAGAAATCTGTACTCGAATGCAAAGAGAGAAAAGAATGTTTAAATTACATTGAAAAGCAAATTGGTATGGATTCTGTTCCTAGGTTCAAGATTGCAGTATCGTTCGTAAAAGAATTCGATTTTCAGATGATCATCCGCTGAGAAGCTTGCGTTTATTATGTCTATTGTCTATTGCAAGCGATGGCGTCGCTCAGAATGAGCTACACTCGATTCAGAAGCTCCATCTTCACGCGCACGGTTACAAGCATATACCATTATTTTATAAATTGCAAAGCGTAGGTTTGCTGAAATGTAGAGCGGAGAATATTTTTCACAAATTACCGAACTGGACCAGCGAATGGAACAGCGGGGCTCAGAAGCTGAAACTTCTGCCGAGCTATTCCAAGCAAACTGAACAAAACAACCGTACATGTCCCAGTTACGTGTTCAACAATATTTATACTCCTGTAATTGTTAGTATGATTTTTTTCACAAGATTATTTCGTTAAGATTCTATTAGAACTAACAAATTCTCTACGTCTGTATAGGCCCAAGTGTTAAATATTGTAGTAAATCAAAAAAAGGACGCTAAGAATCTCGAGGAATTGGCAAGTTTACCGAATTGCCTTATAAGTGGACAACGTGGTCCATTGCTACCAAAGATGGTGATAGTATGTGTTATAGGTGGTATCACTTGCGCTGAAATAGCTGCTTGCAGACTTATCGAAAAGTTATTTGGAATTCGACTTGTCCTTGCATCCGATAGTATTACAACAGGTAACAAAATACTCGAAAGGATGCACGAAATATAAGAATCTCAAGGTATCACCTTGTTATAGGAATTAAATATGTATAATAACCAATATTTTGTATTCTTATACTGTAAATTAAATGTTTTATACGTAAATTTAAAAAGACGAATGCTTCAGTGGTGCACTAAAACAATATACTGTTACTTTATATACTGTTATTTTCAACATTATTTACATGAGTGTACATGCAGTACAGCAATGATCCAATGTCAAACACCCAAGTAAATAATATTCAATATTTCCCGGCTCAATAATTTCGATTCTCTTCCCGATTACGATCCCTATCACGATCGCGCCTCTGACGACCCCAATCCTGTCCCTGTCTGTTGTAATTCTGTCTATCGCGGAAGTTTCCTTGATTTCCGCGCGAGAAGAAATTACCTACATCAGAAAATAATACACTTTTAGCATTTCTCCAAGTATTTATACATGTACTTGAAATGTATGCCTTATAATTACCTTGTTTCATTTCGAAGATACGTTCGTTAGAGTCAACAAAGTTGTTTACTTTGTCAGTGAGCTGTAACGCCAGAGACTGGAGGCGACTAGGCTCACTGCGATGCATCACAACAGTCTCCGTTGGATCATCCAACGACGCCATAAGCTCTTCATTAATGATCATTTTACTAATGGTGGAATGAACAATGGGTCGTTTTAATTGGAACATCTCTGCCAATTTTGGCATAGAGATCGAATCGTAGACATGCGAGTAGGTGAACAGATATGTTCTCAGAGCTTCCTCTTTGATTAATCTCGTGAGCATATCACGAACTTTGTCCGCTTGATAGAAAAGATCCCAAACCTTGGCGTTCATCTTTTCGTTAATTATGAAATTGTTGCAAGCCAGCCAGTTTCCGTTACGCATCGCTTTCGCCGCTGCCACGACGTGCTCTCTCATAGATTCCGGAGGACCGACCAATGATTGACGTTCGCTCGATCGTAACTGTTGGTAGAAAGTCTTCGAGATCATCCTCCTTCTTGCGTCGAATTCATGAGCAGCCATATACGGAATTTCAATGAGCATTGCGGAAACCAGATAAACGCATTCAAGTAGTTCCAAGTTAATGTGCATGTGAAAAGGCATCTGCCTCTGTTTCTCAATCTTCTCTTGCTCTTTGCTACGCTCGTGTTGTCTCTGAGGCAGAAGACCTTGCGCCAACAGTTCCTTTACTTTTCCTGTTACCATTAAATCGACCAAGCAATTGTGGGCATCCTTGATATTCGCGTGACGGAATGCGCACAAGCCCAAATGAGCTATGGTTCTGTTGTACAAAATCTACAATACAGGCAAAAAGCTTAGAAACGGTTCAGAGGTGTGTAAAATATTCTAAGTGTTATGAAAGAAATGCACACTTGCGTAGCTGGATCAGAATGCTGGATGGTCTCTTGTAAATGGGACATCAAAATAAGATCACGTGCTTGGAACCAGTTGTCGTGAAGCGCATGGTGATAAATATGAGAAAGGATCGCTCGAGTTCTAAGTCTGTCCGTTCCATCGTGAGCGTAAACGTATTTACAAAGTTTTTCCATCACTTGGACGGATGTAACGACGTCTGCAGCAAGTTCTCCCTGAAATGATACAAGAGCACCAAGTCTAAATAGTTTGTATCTGTATTTTCCATAACAACAACTTACTTACCTCCTTCTGTTTAAGAACGTTAGGGTCGAATTTGTAATATAAATGCTCGATTTTACGTAGATATACACGGCAAAGTTCCGAAACGGTTCCTTGTCTCTCCAAGTACTCTTGAACTTTGTCGATTATCATAGACACTTGTTTCTCATCTTTTAATCGTTCCACGTATTCGTTACTGTGTGGATCACGTTCCTTCAACAACTTTGTAAATTCTTCGTCCAAACGTTCGACTAACGTCAATACACATCCGTGTATTTTGTACGGAAGAGTTTCGTATTCCTCTGCGTCCTCGGTGACAACCTCAGCGATTATCATATCTTTCGTGCTTAACAGCATATCGAGCATTTCTGTTATACGTTCTAAGATTTTCGACCAATACTCGGGCTTCATCGCGTCCGACACTTTGGGATTGTAATCGAAAATGGAAGACACAATGGAAAACTTGATCTTCACTGCTACGGCCGGCCCAAGATTATGCGCGTCCGCTATCGACTGCAATTCGTGTAACAGTTCGATTTGTTCCCGTCTGTCCGTACGTTTTTTACCGCGAGCTGCAATGATCTCGGATAGCTTTTTCAAAACAGCAGCCACGTTGATTTCGGCATCTTTGGCGAACATTTTTGGCTTCTCCGATGGAATGGCCACTCCGCCTTTCACAGTCTCCCATTCACCTTCTCCATCGTCTTCATCCTTCTTCTTTTTCCTGTCTTTTTCTTTGCGTTCCTTTCGCTGTTCTTTCCGTTTTGCCTTGTCTTCGTCTTCTTCCTTGTCTGCTGCCCTGTTCAATGACACGCGTTTTCATTATTGAAATATGTAAATATTGTTTGTCACTAATCATACGTGATCCTATTCAAACAGTACTTTTTAATAAATCGTTCACGAATATTTTGATATTGGCCATCGTCTTCGCTGCTTGTGCTTTCGCTATCCGAGGAGCTACCCCAATCCGACTCGCTGTCGCTAGCGTCGTCCCCATCAGCCACACTTTTCTGGAAAGTTACAGACCAGTTATATCGGGATTCATTATGTGGTTATTGTATATATATAATGTACAAACTTTAAATTTAGGTAAGTCTGGCTCGCTTGCTTCTGAACCAGCTTTCTTAAAAGCAACTGCACTGTCGTCTTCTTCTTCAGATTCCATAGCTTCTTCCGCTGAAACGTTAAGTTTTTGATTAGTTTTTCTTAAGAAGGATACATGCATTTATAAATTCTATATATTTACGCTTCTCTTCATCTTCGTCGTCGTCTTGATCTGGATTTTCTCTGAATTTGACTATGTCTTCTTCAAAATCTTTATTATATTTACGAAGTTTCTGACGCAACGAGGTCAAAGATTTCGAATTATTCTTCGACATATTCTTGCGTCCATCACGATCTTCCCATACTTCATTGATGAAATCTTCCATTTCCACCAAACATCTGACATAAAATCTAGGCGTTTGACCGCTTTCTTCTTTTGTGATAACGGGTAATGCCTTTTGGTAGGCTCTCATCAAATCTTCAAAACCTATAATCGCATAACAAATAATTTACAACAATAAAGAAACTTGCTTCGTTTCAGTGAATACAACAGACATTAATTGTCTCTAGCACTTACTGGAAAGCATACTGCTCATATCTTTGATCTTTTTATAGTTTCTTATAAGTTTAATGAGATTAGCAATTTCTTCATATCTCTTTTCCTTTGTTGAACGAACAACTCTCTTTGTTTCTTCCTCTTCATCGCTGAACTATAACACAAGGAAATAATGTTAAAAAATGATAATTCAGGTACAAAGTCGAGGAAAGAATTATTCAAAAGGCAGCTATTATTTACTGTGAAAGCTGCAGTGGGTCCTCTTGGTGCCTGCTCCTCCTCGGATACACTTTCAGACTCCGAGTCTGAACCAGTTGCAAAGAAACGACTCATATTGTAAAAATACTGCAACAAGAAAGTGCTATCAATAGGTACTCATTCACTGTAACAGTAAATAAAACGTCTCGAATACAATACATCTGTAGTATAAATAATTGATGTCCATGTAATATTTAATTAACACGGGTAACAATTTATGAAAATATAGCAACGTTACAAAAATATTGTACGTATAATCAAGAAAGATTATTACGTGCATGCAAGTATTCGCGGTGTCGTTAAACACATGGCACAATAACTTTATCAATAACGTCTAATATAATGTACGTGTTACTATTAAATGGTGGTGCTTGTAAAAATATGCACTGTACTAATACGAGAAAACTTACAGAATATAAAATTACTTGTACGTTTTTCCTTCAAAAGGTAGAACTACTGTAGGTTAGAATGAGGACATTAAAGGCAGATACGCCTGGATACGCCACCGAATCAAACGCATGACATGAAATGCGTTCTATAAGTGATCAATATAATATATGTACTTTCTAAACTCACCTTTCACCAGCTAACATGAAAACTCCTTTTATTCTAAAAGTTTTTTGAAAAGTACTCTTTTAACGATGTTTTTAAACAATATGTTGCAGCAATATTATTTATGTTCCCAAAAACAAAGTTTCATTCATGAACATGAAATATTGAATAAGAAAAGACGTGTAAAAGTTATCCGTCAAATTGAACAACTAAAGATATATATTTGTAAATAAATAATATAATCTAACATAATTCCAACGAGTTAATAGTTAAACATTTAAACGTTTATATAATCTACGCGAATCAAAAACTAGTGCCATCTAGTCAATTAGTACTAGTTGATTCCATCTAGATATGTAGCGTCACAATACTCTTTAAGCCCTTGTTTCATTAAAGAATTAAATATCAGTTAAGAATGTATCAAACGGCAATTACTATTGAATAATATTAGAATAACAGACTTCAATGAATAAGGCGACATCAGCAGGTCGCATATTCAGTTTATATTTTTTTTTATACCGACCACCCAGAGATATAGCATCACGCCATCTAAGGTCAAGAAGATGTTCCCAATTTGCTAACAGTTTGGAGATTTTGTCATAGATGGCACAATAGGTCACTTTTATCGTCTCTATTATTACACATAAAGGATATTAAGTATTAATTGAGAATGCAAGAAAATCAAAATGAACAGAATCAATCCAAGGAAATTCCATAGATTTTTATTGGTATTTGCAAAGAATAACTATTTAACATAATTTTTCATTTGTTCGCACTAACATAATTTGAACGAAACGTAATGAGCAATTAATTAAATTATTTCGAACGCGTTTTGGAACGCATGTATCTGGAATTCCCAAGATCAATATGAGTAGTCGATCCCTTCAGTTGGCACGAACTGAAGGGAGAACCAGGGAGAACGGTCTTCGTACAAAAGGGTACAAGCACGTTTTAAGGTGCGTGGGAGTGTGTGTTCCGTTTCGACGAGATCGTATAGATCAGAAACATAACAGAGAACGGTCTACACGCATAGATAATTTTCTCTTGGAAATACAATGGCCACCAAGTAAGTACATAGACGGACAACAAAACACGCAACATTGTACTCAATTCAACTCTTCAATTCAATCGAGTTATATTTTAGTAATCTATTGTATCGTAATAAGAAATTTTTCTTAAAGATCGAACTTTAAAGTGCTCCAGGATGTATTATATCGTCCTGCAAATAATGAACACGATTTGTTTCTTTTATACTTAATTAGGACGTGAATACATAACTTTGTGTCAATGGTTGATGAAGTATCCTCTTCGTCCTTTACACATGTAAATATATATGTTTGAAATATTCTGTGTTTCTGTGGAATAATAAACAAGCTTTCTTTTCAGTTATATGGAAAATATGAATGACGAACTTGCCAAGAAATTTTATTCTGGAAAAAAATATACAGAAGCATTAAATCAGTACAATGAACTTATTAGTAAGTGTATTCCTCAATCATGAATCCGCTGTGATGAAATTTAATAAAACCGTGATTTGATTGTTTTTGTAGAAGTGTTCCCAAATAAATCCAAGTATTATGGAAACAGAGCTGCATGTTATATGATGCTCAGTAAATATCGTGATGCTTTGATAGATGCAAAAAAAAGCATTGAGTTGGATGATACGTTTCTCAAAGTATGTTATGTACTACCTGCAAGAATATATATATACACACACGCGCGCACATATATATGTATGAACACAAATGACCATTCATTTTATTCAACCCATTTGATTTTCTAGGGTTACAAAAGGGTTATAAGATGTTGTTTAGTCCTGGGAGATATTATTCAAGCTGAAACCACTTTAGCAAAGTTACTGGAACTAGATCCCACTAATGAGGCAATAAATGCAGAGAAACTAGACTTACAGCATGTACAGTTTTATTTTAACGAGGCAAAGATTGCATATGCACTAAAGGATTATCGTAAGGTTTGCAATTATTTTTCAAGTAAAACAAGGTGTACATAGTATATTATTATTCATCGATACTACCAGTGTCTGATCTACTATAACTTTTCTAGGCTGTATATGTTATGGACCGTTGTTGTGATATAAGTATATGTTGCCCAGTATTTAAATTGTTTAAAGCAGAGTCTCTAACATATTTAAATAGGCATCAAGAAGCACAAACGATTGCAAAGTGTGTTACTTTATTAATTATTATTAGTATTATTACTATGTTATATATTATTTGTATCTTACTATATACTGTATATGTATTTTATTCTATTTCAGCGATATCTTACACATTGACAAACAGAACGTGGATGCTCTGTATGTTCGTGGTGTGTGCCTGTATTTTCAAGATGATATCGATAAAGCGTTTGAACACTTTCAACACATTCTTAAACTTGCTCCAGATCATGTAAAGGCATTATACATGTACAAGGTAAGGAACACGTGAACCATATGTAGAATATTTGTTGCATTTTCTTTCTTTTTTGTAATTCTGTAGAAAGCTAAAAACTTGAAGAAAAAGAAAGAAGAAGGAAATGATGCCTTCAAAACGAAGCAATATCACAAAGCATACACACTGTATACAGAAGCCTTGGCTATAGATCCCCTGAATACAGCAACAAATGCAAAACTTCATTTTAATAAAGCAACAGCAGCTGCAAAGGTGTCCATTTTAATTTGTTTCTTTAAGCCACAACTTTCAGAATGAAGTCACCGATTACATTTTATACTTTATAGTGCGGGCTTTTACAAGAAACGGTTACAGAGTGTACAGAAGCATTAAAGTTAGATGAAAATTATATGAAAGCTCTTCTGAGGAGAGCAGTGACATACATGACACTCAAAGAATATGATGAAGCTGTTCATGACCTCGAGAAAGTATGCAAAATGACTAACAGCAGAGGTATATAGAAGGAAAAAAATTCATCTTCGCTATAAAAAGTATTTTCTGGTTACATTGTAGTAACACCTTCGAACATCGATTTCCAGAACACAAACGGTTGCTCATGGAAGCGAAATTAGCAGCGAAGAAGTCGAAGAGAAAAGATTATTACAAGATTTTAGGTATCAACAAAAATGCATCGACCGACGACATTAAAAAAGCGTTCAGGAAAAGAGCCATGGTACATCATCCAGGTGAGTATAAAGGCGCATTTCTATTAAGTGATTCGTATCATCAAAGTTATCTTCTCTCGTGTAATTGCGTACAGATCGACATCCAAATGCAACAGAAGGGGAAAAGAAAGAACAAGAGAAAAAGTTTAAAGAAGTCGGGGAAGCCTATGGAATTTTGTCCGATCCTAAGAAGCGTTCGCGTTATGACAGTGGACACGACGTAGACGACGGCGATAGTGGACACCAAAGTACAGATTATTTTTCCTTCAATAAACTCTCATGACTAAAAAAAAATATTATATTCTAAACGATATTTATATCTTTTCATAGATATTGATCCAAATGCAGTATTCCGTACATTCTTCAATCAATATGCCGATACTCAGCCTCATATGGGCGGCGGCGGCGGCGGCGGCGGCTATCCTGGTGGTTTTCCCGGTGGATTTACTTTTCACTTTGGTTAACAGCATTCCGAAACAGGCGTTCTTATATGATACTTCTATCAATGTAGTTAATCGGGTACTTTATTTTATGTTAGAAACGAATATATTAGTTTTTGCGTACATTTCATTCGACCGATTTTTCCTGTATTGTCAGGTAATATAAAATTTACTAGATATAGTTTTATATATTTATTTAAATAACTGTAAATATGTCACATACATGTAGTACCCCTGTAATTTTTTGCGATACGATAAAGCATGAATGACGAGTGTTAATGAACTATATCGGTTTAATTTGATCATACCTCTTAGCAGAGTATGGATTCATCGATGTAGGTACTTACAGAAGTTACGTTTATTTTCTCTTAATGATTAGTGACAATATTATTAAATTAACTTACAAACTGCTACGTAATATAGTCCACAATAAACTTTCCGAACCTGTTCTAATTTGCCATTGTATATTATACAATTTTGAAATCCATTATAAAAGAAAAATAGAACGAGAGAGAGAGAGAGAGAGAGAGAAAGTCTTCTGCAACTTATGTCTTTCTGTAGAAATATGATCATGTATTGCGCATTGTTATATTAAGGTACAATAAATTCTTGAACAAAGTCTTGTATTCCAGTTATAGTAATTAATATCAGTAATTTTTTTCAAAACCTTATTTGTTTCTCAAGCCAGAAATAACATTTCCGAACATCTTACTCATCTAAATTGATAAAAAAAAAACTCTTGGTGTTTCTATTGCTTATTTAAATACACGTCTAGTGTTCTAAAAAGTTCAATTGTTCAAAATAAATGATTGAATATCGTCGTTTGAAAGAAAATAAAGTTTCGGTTGTAAACAACAAGTTTCGAAGATGTTTATGTAATGCTTTTGATATTCAAATTCAATACTAATGACGTATGACTCTTTCCAGGCTTTGTAATAGTATGTACATAAGGCACGCTGCTATTGTTACAACTTCGAAATACATGAATACACAAATCTATGGAAATTATGCACATTTCACTAGACTGAATTAAACAACGCTAACGTAAGGCACATGGGAGCTGAAATGTACATATTTGCAGGAGCACGTGAAAATGTGTAACAGCACCTATATATTGACTGAGATCTTACTTCAGCAAGTATACTTATGTTTCATTTTACCGACGATTATACATTTACAGCATTAACAAACCTTGCGTCTCATCTCTTCTTTTTTTGTCTGTATACCGTAAATATACAATCGTTGTTGTACGAGATGGCATATTTTCATTTTTACCATTTTTCAGTATGTATTTCGTTCATATATTCTTCACATTACCTAGTGTTATTGAGCATAAAAATACTTTATTTAAATATACTGCGTTTAGGTCTTTTAAATAAGTACTCGGACTCTAAATGTAAGTTATTGTTCTATAAAGTAATAAATTAATAAAGCACCTTTTCCAATTAACGCGTAACTCGCATACTCTTTTTGTTAACGTTTGCTCTCTTATGACATGGCGTGTTAAATACTTCTACGACGAGTATGTTGATACGATAAAAGATACTTAAGATGTATAATATATATTCATGATCGCAAAATTAAAATCTGCACTCATAGCACATTTTCAAATAAGTACGCACGCTTAAAATCAAACTGTTCAATCGGATATAACGTTTGCAATCTTACATGTACAGCATAAGTACATATTGGTATAACAGTATACTTGATAGTATATACATATATACAAACAATCTACTATTAATCCGGAATCAATTTTTGTGCTATATATTACATTATTTCATTACGAATTATTTATTTGTCTCGTTATAGGACGCTCTACCCGCCAATTCGAGTAAGTAACGATCGGGGTGATCTATCCACTCGCTGGCACTTAACTTAACAATCCTTTGCTTTTCCGCTTCTTTTACCTGCCATTTTTTAATTTCCAATTGACGATCCCTAAAATATTTTCGTATTAACTTCTTCGAAACACTAATTTAATCTGAATAATTTTGGTAATGGAACATGCGCGTGTGTGTATGTGTGTGTTACCTTAATTTCGTGTCTCCACAGCCCCAAACTTCTAAGCTAGAAATTGGATAAGGTGCACCCGCAATACTGACTGACTGGAATGACTCGTCTATGCTGATGTAAGGTGAACGTGGATTACTACCAAATCGTAACCCATGAGGATAACCCCTGATGTTGGTATTTAAATACAATACTTTAGCTCCTTTCTCTATAACTCTGTACGACGGAAACAATTCAATGCCCACAGAATCTTCATCGCCCCAGTAAAGGTGACTTTCGTGCCATTCTACAGCAGAGCATACACAGTACGTAGGGCATACTGTGTCCTTGTCTGGGCTAATAGCCCTTATAAATAACAAGGTAGGGCCTCTGTATCCTAATACATGATGCAAAAAACGGTTAGCTCCTGTCCCATGTTCTGAGCTACTATATAACAAAGTCCAATGTCTGGGACACACACTACCCAATCTTTTAGCTATCAATGCATAGGGAACATCCTTCGGCGAATCATCTACCTAAATGTTTTACAACCCATTGTTTAACAACGAATTAACGATAATAAAGAGTGAAATTTTCTCAACTAAGAACATACCTGAAGATAACATTCGGGTAATGTACTGGATAATAACCATACATAGCTCACAGGTAGAAGAATCTGAGGAAAATCAAAGGACATTGGCTGTTCCAATATAGGCGTTGGTATCTCTAAATGTGGTTGAGGCTGCTCTTTGGACAATAGAGCTTTACCATTACGATAAGCGGTAGTCAGTACATGCACGATATAGTGATGGGGACCATTTATTATACGTGGGCAATGCTGCCAAATCCAATTGCTCACGTAACTTACAGACAGGGTATGTTTGCCATGAAACTGTAATACACATTCTATAAGAAGGAAGCAAACATACACAGAAATGATATTTTAATAAATAACGAAATATACTAACACACGAGACAATGACTGCATTCATTATTTGTTCAGCATAAATGCAGGTAGGAGTTCCACTGCTGTCCATAGCAATTTTATAAGAAATATTCAACAGGTGTTTCAAATCTTCAGGAGTAACATCTCCTTTCATGTTCGAATACATCTTTACATAATTTTCTAATACAGTTTGATCATTCATCACAGAAAGAAACTTCTCGGCTTGTTGCTTAAAAGAATGAGCACTTAAATGAGCAGTGCTAACACCAGCAGCATGATGCAGGTAATTGAACAGATTTTCACCTAATTCTGGATAATTAGGGAAAAGGTATCGTTGAAATACAGATTTTGTGATACCAGTTATACGTTCCTCGTCATGAGTTAGGTGAGAGAGGGTCTGCAACACATATGGAATCTCAATAATGTGTTCCTTTGGAGATAATGATATAATGACGTAATAAACCCAATAGGATCACAAGCAATGGTTCTTTTACAACGGTATAACTGCTTTCAACATTTAAAAAATATTAAAATCTAGTTTAAGAAGAAAAATTATCTATGTATATATATTAGGCACAGCATTGCCCTTGCTGTCAGTTCCCTATTGTCGCGATACCTTTTGTTGACTGCTAGACCCAAAACTGTATGACCCTGCTAGATTTGATACTTCGTTATATTGTTACTTTTAACTTGTATATAAACATATACTATAATCTCTAGTGCGTATCATAATTATTGCAATCATTGGGTTAGGGCAATTACGTTTTATTTTCTTTGTATTGGAAGATCAATAATTGAGAGGTATATGTCCTTTTAAATCTCTCATAACACTATCTACGAAAAGCGTTTTACATCAGGAACGTGATTATAGGTTATGTGAAAGTGTTTGTCGATGTAACAATGACATTTGAAGGATGAATATCGCAGAACAACCTGTAAATCATTCATGAAGTGAACGAGATAGTTGAAATTTCGAAAACGCAAAGGAGTTCTCCGTAACAGTCGAATTTCCCTCTGCAAATCGTGGATATGCATCTTCTCGTAAGAACGCGAGAAACATGATACGCAACTATGCAGTTATAAGGCAACATCCTCATACCTTTGCCAGACTCTCGATTGGAAAGAACTGCATGTGCGAATGACTTTCTAATTCGGTTGACGAGGAACTTTTCGAAAGGCTAGTTGCATTGTTCGTGTCACCGTCATGCACAATCGAATCAGTCTTCTTGGAGGATGCATGTCCAGCACGTGTCACTTGATTACCCATTTTTATGCGGCTAGAATGTTGTAGTACAAGAAAATTCACTGCCTTATCGTCTGGACATAACATCGCCCACCCACGACAACAAAACATGCATGCAACCATATGCAACTTTCAGGAAGATCGTCATGAATGATACGAAGGCAAGTGGTGCGTGCACTCGAGAGACACGTTGCATAAAATGTAATATAATGTGTGTTATATATGTCCTACGAATGATTTCGTACTACAGTTAATTTTATAGAAATGAACGACATAATTACTAAACCTAAACCATTAAGAAATCTGCAAACAGTAGCCAAAATGAAGACTTTCTCTTAAACTATATTATTCGATTTTCAAACTGTTTGCAAAGTAGTCTGAAATTTACAGAAACACCCAGTAAATTGTGAATAAAAATTTTTTTCTACAATGTAAGATTACTATAGAATTCCTTTCTATCGATATTACGCATTAGTTATTGATATTTGTGGCGTTTTTAAGAAACCTTTAATTTTCTTATACATACTAATGGTAAATGGGAAAAAAAAAGTCACGGTACCACCTACAGCAAAATGCTCAAGCTAATAACCCATTAGTGTCACTTTTTTGACATAGATGGCGCCGCCACAGCCTTCCGGCTCCTCCTACAATAAAATTAAAATATTATTTAAACAACACCACACACTAATTGTTATTGTATAATACCGTTGGGATTAAATAATTCATTGAAATATCTTTTATCGATGTTGTCAATAGCAATACTTTGGTGTATTGTGTAATGAAGCATAGGCCAAAAGATACTGTGGCGCCATCTAACAATCTGAGAACGAAATTAATTCGCTACTGGCTTGGGCATTTTGCCACGGATGGCGTCACTAGTCAATTCGGTATTACGGCATAAGGGTTCTCATTTTGTGGGTTAATTGTTGCGGTTCACAACTTGCGAAGTGAACCGCACCTTTCACTTGGCCATGTACAATAATTAGACTCATATTCATAACTATACGCAGTTACAAAATCTAGTATTATTTGTTGTAGATGTAAGATTCGAATTAATTTACGTTAGATTGGATGAATAAACCATCACCGTGCAACACTGAATCTATTCGAACGTTCCGCGAGTAGAACGCCATGTTGCGGTTAACAAGCGCGCGCGCAACAGTTATCCTGGTAGCGCATGAGACTTCGGGGGGTGGGGAGACGTCTTTTCCAAAAGCGTGCATCGTCTGTCATCGGGAAAAAATTTTATCGGTAAGATCACTGCAGTCAATCGTATTCTCGACAGAAAAAAAACGTTTTCTCGCGAACACGTGTGATTTCCATAGCATTCACTCCAATTATTTCGGGTTTCACTTGTGGGCGTATGCAACTCCGTTAATCGGTGCATTTATAGTGTTCCGAGGAAAAAAAAGGAAAGAACGGGTAGGGGTGTAGCGATAATTGATCGTTGAAGGAGTTTTCCAGTTACAGACACGTCGTAAGTGATAATAACGCGAGACAACCGATAGGTTTCGGGGGGTAGGTATTTGCAAGAGCAGGGTACGCGCTTCCAAATAAGGTGCTCTTAAATGATCCAGCCAGTCTGTGTCGATAGCGCCGCTACGTGATCGTTGCTTGAATCACAATGTGAACGTTATTGCTCGCCGGCGGGAACGTTGAAATTCCAAAGTACTGGCTTCTAAAAGTATTCACGTAGCCACGGATGCAGTCTTGCATTCTTATCAGCATTATGCTGGTATAATGCTCAATCACCAACCGTACATCCGTATATACGCCTGAATGTTTCACCGCGTGCGTGTGCATATATCCTGTGTTCCGAGTGTCGCATAACTTCTAGCACGACCGAATTGGTGGTGACTTTTCGACCGAAAATAAGTGAATAATAGTTAGTAGTTTCTTCTTTTTAAAAGATTTCTCTTTGATAGAAAAATTATTAAGGTTACTTGTTCTCAACAAAAAGTTAATTATCGTATAACGCGTTAACTTTACTTATTAAGGAATCAGTAACTGTATTCCCATTAGAAATTCTTATCTATTGAACATCAATTACATTATTTCGACAAAAAGAATATTCAGCGGAAATTATTGCTGAAGTTTTTTTTAAACATATTAAACGAGTACATACTGTAAGTGTTTCTTCTTAAGAAAAATTCAGATGGAAAGCTTTTGAAAATGATAAACTGGAAACGATTGTTACGTACGAAAAGAAAAATGAACGGATATTGCGGTCTGTGTAGATTAGATACAGTTAACGCAAAAGGATAACAGTCAGTCAGTGTCAATCTGTTGACGATAGCAGAACGACTAATCGGGACGTAGATATTATTCCGTTACTCAGCTTTCTAAAGGAGCGTTGTGATTCATACGTCGAATAATTGCAGTCTACCATTTAAAAGTCATTTACAGATAAGCATCGATTATTTCTTTATCGCGTTGGTCTGAAATAAAAGGGTCCACGTTAGGGAGAGATGATAAACGTTTCACAGTTTCATTATTAAAGGTATAATTTAAAAATTAATTATCAAGTCAGAGTTCACGTTTTTCTATGAAAGATATTAAATTGAATGCGGCTGACCTAGAAACGCGTTCTTCGGTGAAGCGATTAAAATTTTAGTACGCCCCCTAACCGGAACTGCCATTCGATTGACATACAATGTCAAAATTCGGTTGCAAAGAATCTTCTGAAAATACTCGTCTAACTAAACGTAATTCCAGTTGATTCAGTCGGATTCCTGTAAATTTAATTTGAAATTAGAATGGAATGTAACGTTAATGCTATTTCGAAAGCAGCCAATAATGGAAATTCAAGAACGCACTGTAACGATCGGGGTGTGAATCATCGTCATAATAAAAGCCGCGGCTGGTTTATTTTCGGGTGGATCCCGGTCTATTTTTCGATTTGCCAAGTATGGCCTATACAACATTTTCCAAAGATATTCTTGATAATTGGCAACACTGTGGTGTGTGTGCGTGCTGAGACCGGACGTGCATTAAGCCCTGTAAACCGTAAAAAAGTCTCCGAATTCGAAAATATTCTTATTCTCAGTCGCGCTCATTTCAACATCGAGGGTGGGGAATCTATTTATAAAACTGGGGATGGTCCACGCGACGCCCACGCCGACGGTGGACACGTAATAATAATTTATTAAAAAAAAAAAAACTAAATCCGAATAACCGGCACAGCAAGGTACCCCGTCCGCTTCTGTAGGTTAATCCCCTCATACACATCGCTTTCATTCCTCGTCTCCGTTTTTATGTGTTCATTAGTCGAACGAAAGTAGGTGCCAGATATGTCTTTCCGTGTTGTGCGCAGCAGCAAGTTCCGCCACGTGTACGGAACGCCTTTAAAACGTGAACAATGTTACGACAACATCAGGGTGTCCAAATCCTCCTGGGACTCGACCTTCTGTGCTGTGAATCCAAAGTTCCTGGCCATCATCGTTGAATCTGCAGGGGGCGGTGCTTTCATTGTTTTGCCACATAATAAAGTGAGTCTCGCTCTTTTTCAGTAGATATTATTCTAGATGCTGTTTAGACAGGGATTTGATGTTTATTTCGAATCATTGTAGGTCGGGCGAATACCAGCGGATTATCCTTTAGTCGGTGGACACAAAGGTCCTGTGTTGGACATTGCGTGGTGTCCTCACAATGATAATGTCATAGCGTCTGGTTCTGAAGATTGTGTAGTTAAAGTATGGCAAATACCAGACGGTGGTATCTCGAGGACATTAACAGATTCAGTGGTAGACCTTCAGTTGCATCAGCGTAGAGTTGGTCTTGTTCTGTGGCATCCAACTGCATTGAACGTACTGCTCACAGCTGGATCGGACAATCTTGTCCTGATCTGGAATGTTGGTACCGGAGATGCAATGGTGCAAATAGACTGTCATCCAGATATGATTTATTCCGCGTGTTGGAATTGGGATGGATCCAGATTGGTCACTACGTGCAAGGATAAAAAAATTCGCTTACTAGATCCAAGATCTGGAGAAATATTAGAAGAAGCTATTGCACACGAAGGCAGTAAGGCTACTCGGGCAATCTTTCTTAGGTATGTAGAAAGGATGCAATTAGCACACGGGTGTTTTTATTTCGAAGAATTTCTTGAACACATGCGATTTTAATCTCTAATTGCTTATACCCCAGTTGGCAAATATCATTGGAATAAAGGAACTGATTATTTTAATAATAAATAAGTTTGTCTATAGTCTGAGAAAATATTTCATAGACATAACTCGTTTTTTACTTTAGAAACTAATTCTAACTTTTAGGTAGAAGCTGTTAACTAATTGGTGTGAGCAATTATAAAAATTAAATGGATACATGTTTGTTAGGAAAATAGTTTTATATGTTTTATTTCACAGGTGTGTTATTGCTACCTTCATGAAATTGTATATATATATTCTTTGTACTTTGATATCAATTATAGATAAATATTTTTGTTCAAATGTTTCTAACAGTAACAAATATTTCTGTTATGCGAAACACTATCAACATACTTTTCACATCAAATAATCATCAAACAGTATACATCCGCCTTTTTACACAAAATGTATATTGAGGATAAAAGAGAACTGTATTTATTTCGATCATTATTCGCAGTTTTTAAGAGTAATTATATGATGCACATTTTAGAAGAGTAGAATAGCTTTAAATTGATAGAGCAATCCATGCATTCTAAAAGAAATACTCATGAAGATTCTATAAATGATGTATTTACATGCGAATTAAGAATACCTCTATTTTTTATCACATGGTCTTTCCAATTTGTGTAGCGCGAGATTCGGTATTTGTTAATGGAAAACTGCAACATTGAAAATACATCACCAAGAGGATGTCAGCTTAATAAATGCAAATATCAGGATGTCCACTGTGTAATATCTTCGTAAAGAGTTACAGTAAGTATTGTATCTCAAGTTACTACTTTAAAGTATAACGTTTTCTACATGTCGATCGATGAATATGTTTATAAATTACAAAAAAAGGCGATAATGCAACTACACTAATACAAACACGTATGTAACAAAGAGATGTGACTTTACGCGTATCAGAGCAAGTCAGTTAATATACTTTCAAATGTTTTCATATCTGTTTTGCAGAACAGACAAACGATTCAGGTATACAATTCATAAGTACAGTGTCCAGTTGGTGAACTGATTTTCATAATTTACCAATAATCTTGAGCATAAACGAAACAATTTTTTTTCTTAATTATATTGCTACACTTGTTTTATGTCATTCGACACATTTGTGTGTTTAATATACAAGCATAAAAATTTGTGCAAAGGCACTACCTCCAATTATGTTGTAACAAGGTGGATGTTATTCAGTTTTGATGATTAACTTAAACAAAAGAATCTGGAAAGAAATATTGTATAGAAGATTGTAACAGAGTGAGAGCGTGTAGTATTCTTTAGTAATAAGTTCTATCCTGTAAGTTCTTGATTTGTATGTATGAATGTGTAACGTCTTTAAAAAAGTACTCTCTCGTACCTGAGCAGAGCTTTGTATCCACAAGGTTCTTTTTTACTGTGTGTTTCAGGGGAGGCTTGATTTTCACTACGGGTTTCAGCAAAATGTCCGAAAGGCAATATTCGTTACGTGCCCCTGATATGTTAGGCGAACCGATAGTCATGGTAGAATTGGACACCAGTAACGGAGTAATGTTTCCCCTCTACGATCCCGACACGAATCTAGTGTATTTGTGCGGGAAGGGTGATTCGGTGATTCGATACTTTGAAATTACACCAGAACCTCCTTTCGTTCACTATATCAATACATTTCAAACACCTGATCCTCAACGCGGCATAGGAATGATGCCAAAACGAGGCTGTGATGTTAATAGCTGTGAAATATCTCGATTTTATCGGCTGAACAACTCAGGCTTCTGTCAGGTCATTTCTATGACGGTCCCGAGAAAGGTATACCTAAAATGTCCATTTCTTATAAAACCAAAAAATGATTATACAACTGCTAAATTGTACACTTAATATTCGTTAATTTTGTAGTCTGAACTATTCCAAGAAGATTTGTATCCAGATACATCCAGCGATACCGCGGCGATTTCTGCGGAGGAATGGGAAAGCGGAACCGACGCGGATCCTATACTGATTTCTTTACGAGATGGTTATCAGCCTTCGGTAGCCAAGAACGATCTGAAAGTGCATAAAAAGTCGAACATTCTCAGTAAAGGAGCGAAAATTGCCTCGAATTCTTCGCAAAATGCTAACCAAGCAGCGCCAACCATTACCGTATGTGCTTTATATACATATATGCGTGAAAGCTTCCTGCTTTTTTTTTCATTTAAATGAAACCTATTAACGGGGGGGCTGCTGGTATTTTGACAGGAGGACTTGCTGAAAGAATTTACGGAGGAAATAAGGAAATTGAAGGCGGTGATCGTAAAGCACGAGGGAAGGATACGGGTGCTAGAGTCTGCGGTTGCTCTTCAAATGAAAGAAGAAGAGAGAAAAGAAAAATCGTCCTCGCCTGCCGTGCCGGAGGTGCTCGCGTCCGACGAGGTGTAACGTTTTTCTTTTTAATATTATATTTTTAGCTCACGAAAAGATACTACGAAAGGATAACTAATTATGTAATAAAAAAAAATGATCATATATTTTGGTATAACAATTTGTGTAAATAGTAGGTTTTAGCTACGTCTCTCGTGTGTTTTTGATTCTTTGGAATGATCTTTGCTATTTATTGTACATCCATTCATCATACATCCGCTGCATTTGTACCATGTTTTACATCTTTTATTTTATTAGGACTGTAACTAACACATGACACTGCTCCTGTTTATTAGCGTTAAGAATTGTCGGATGTTTTAATGTCCAGTACGCGGACGAGGACCTCTATGTATATTTAACTTTATAAGGACAAACGAGTGCCTAATTTGTACAGACACGTCGGCTGTAAAGTAATTGAGAAACCACTTTATTCTGATATACAGTGTCAATGTGAATATTTTTTGTGTAATGCCTCTCGAAAGAACGCGTAATTTGTAAATAAATTATGCGACATAAAGTAACAAAAAAAAAGAAGAAAAAAAAGATTGCTATTTTACAATCACTGTGCAAATAACAATATATACGGTATCAATTGTACTACTTTACTAACTTGTTTTTATCAACATTGTGAGAAGGATATGTTTTGTACAAAAAATGTGAATATATAATATACATATAACTGATTGAAAAGAATATATCCTGTATTTAATGTTTCTTAATTTCCTCATAACTAACCGATTCACCACCGAAGCAACAAGAATCAATTGATCCAGATGAACTAGCTCGCAGCCAATTAGCTCATATTATATATCGTGCAATTGTTGATTGTAGCTATAACTACAAAAATATTTCGAACTTTGAAATTATTTCTAAATGATTTATTTGCCAAATATTTGGTTATTTAAAATAATAATGCAAAATAAAAAATAATAAATTTTCGTATATAATGAATATATTTGTCATTGTAAATTGAAAAATATATTGTTTGTTTAAATTTATGGGACAATACATAGATATACGTGTTCGGAATAGCATATTAAAAGTAATTAGTTTTTTGTACGCGAACACAAATTCCGACAAATCCGACCCCGAACCTGCACAAGCTGGGTGAAATCGGTATGGAACAATTCGGAGGTTTATTTTCATTTTATTACTAATAATTCTATGGTATATGTACATAGCATATATTTGTAGCATCCTGAAAACGGGTATTAACGAACCATTCCACGTCGAAACGCACATAACTGCGATCTTAATGAACGATTTTTTTCGAATTTGCAGCATTTGTTGATAACCACAAAAAACTAAATTGTGTAAAATTTTAGTTTCTAATCTTGAACCGTTTCCGAGAATTTCCCTTGCGGGAAGACACCGTAATGAGCCATCTCGTG